ACAGAGTTTTAGTCCATAGGTGATGACTGTATCCCTGTCCCTCATTGCCACATGGTGAGCAGTTAGATTCCATTGTTTTTGAGCAAACGTGTCCCAAAGTCTGAAAATCAGTGTGTGACATTAAGAATTGTCATTACCGAAACACATATTGTGTACATTTTTTGTGTTTTCATGAAAAATTTTATGATTTTATGTGTGTACAGCTGTTCAAATCTGTGTTTGCTAGTCATGTTCTGGCTAGTGTTTTTGAGTTCTGCTCAAAATGAGCTAAAATTGTCACTGCTGAAACAGTCTCTACCCAAACATTTGGTAAAGTTTTTGTAGTGTTATGACTGTTTTGGTAGTGACAAAATGGAATGTTTAATCAGCTATTTTAATAGAACACACAAAATTAAGGTATAGAACAACTCAAAGCAAAAAAATGTTAGTCCAAGTCAATTAAAAATCTGAAGTGGGTTTTGAACTACTTCAGCAGAATGATCCATATACTCAAAAGCAGAGAAACAGACTTTCAATTGTGTTGTGGTAAATGTCACAGTAAACTAGGACTGGGAAATCTGGCAATATATTGTCGTTATCATGATAAGTTATGTCACAGTGTGCTTTTCTGGGCATATTGTGGATATCATACTTAAAGATTAAGACAAATTGGACCTAGTGCAGTGCAGTTTCTAAGACATTGAATAAAAAACATTATAGTTGTAGGTTTATTATTATTATTATTATTATTATTATTATTACTATGCTAATGCATTTTTAGAGGTGAGGACTCGAGTCATATGACTCACGAATTTGATAGCTTCAAAATCAAGAAAGACTTGCAACTCGATTTTGACTTCTACAAAAGTGACTTGAAATTTGACTTGAACTTGAGCTTCATGATTTAATTTGCCTCCGTAAGCTGGAGACAAGCAAAGCATCAATAAGCCCTCATTCAGTGTTTAAACTCCAGTCTTATAGGAGAAACGTACCAGACGAAATGACCATTTTCCTCATGGTAGTAAAACAAAAGAACAAAGAGCCAATTTGTTACAAATTTTTACAGCTTCTGCAGCTAAAACAAGCACAACATCATCAGAAGGCTAAAGTTTTTATTTGCCATCTTCATATTTATTAATATTATTTGTAAGGGTGAAAAATGTATAAAAAATGTATATGCAGCTATACCCTACTAACATGCTGTCATTAAAAGGCTGTTACCATCATTTTTGATGTTCAGTGTTGAAATGGCCTTAAATTAGCCAAAGAATGCAGACTGACTTATTTAGCACTTGGAACTCAACTTGAGACTCACCTGTACTGACTCGAGATTTGATTTGAGACTCGACTGCCTTGACTTGGGACTTGACTCGGGACTCGAGTGTCAAGAGTACAGACTTAGTTACTTGCAACTTAGTGACTTGTTCCCACCTCTGTGTGGCACAACAGGTTCTATTTCATCTGTTCTAACTTAAGTCTTAGAAAAACTAAACTAAATATCATGATGCATATTGTTTATCATGAAAATGTCTTGAAGCATCATGATATGTTTTTGCCATATTGCCTGCCCCTACAGTAAACACAGTTTCTTAGTAGTTCCTGCATAATAAGTGTTAAGTTAAATAACTGAAGAACAGGTCTAGGGTTTAAGGGATTAACGTCTTCACTGGTTACAAATTTATTGTTCAAAACAACTTCCTTTTGAAATGTGGGCCTCACAGTTTGGATCAGTCCTGTCATTCTATAATATCAGCTTGTGCTCTGTGGTCAGTGAGGCTGGGAGTAGGGGTCAGGCTGAGGTTGTGTGGGGGGAAAACAGAGTTATCTGCCCGTAAACCACAGCTGGTTACTCCCTGGCCTCTGGTGTCATGTGGGAGTATGAGCATGTATATGTGCATACATGCGTGTGCAAAACATATTTGTGCCTCAGTTAGGGTGGACAGTGAGTAATTGTCAGAAAGCTGGACTAACCCACTGGATTGGGCACAGAGAAGTGGCAGCTGGACGGAGCATTTGAGGAAGGGGATTTTCCACTGTGTTGTGTTCGTGCATGGTCCAAATCGGTTGGTGGGAATTCTATCCTTCTGCAATTAGATGCTTTGCCCTGATGAGGTCATGAGCTGCTGTAGAGATGTGGGTCGAAATGTTCACCAGATCAGATGGACTACTTTATCAGCTGCTGTGTGTCTGTCATTCAGAACAATGCCAAGCAGCGTCTTTTGCATGAATAGATGTTTTGTTTGTAATTCTTACATCCACCCAGAATCATAGAAAAGCTATGAGGGTTGTCCTTTTGTTTTCTCAAATGACTGCAAATCTGATATTGCTGTAGGAGGATGCTGCAGTGTAATACTGTTGTGTTCACTGTGAGTTCCTGCAAGTGAAGACCCTATGCATTATTGTGCCCTATAGCAGTGTGTTAGAAATTCAGCAAAAAGAGTAAGGAGACTGGAGCTTCGGCGTTGACTGGAATTTATTTCCACATACAGAGTATGGGTACAGCATGGTCGATCAACAGTCAATCAGCAGTATCAGGAGTCTGGTCTTATTCACGTGCATGCAGGCAATCATGCACGGGCACAGCTTGGTCATCAGTGTGTCACCAGTCTAGTCTGGTCACCAGTCTGATCAGCAGTCCAGTCTCCAGTCCAGTCTGACAAGAATATTTTGGAAGGACCTTATATACATTGAAAACTAAGGGGGAGAAAGGAGGAGGAAAAGGAGTTTGAGGAGGGATAAGGAGGGGTTGTAGAAGGAGAAAATGAATAGAGATAATGGGGGGTGGTTGTTATCATCTTAAGGTCATGAGACAAAGGGTCATACTTTACTAAAAAAAAGGGGTGAAATATAAGCAATGACATAAAAGTAGAAAACACATGATTATATATAATATAATGTATTATATATAATATAATGATTATAATGAATAATCATTATCGGCAAGTCAAGAGGTTCTTTTTACATTAACTTTCACAGCAGCTTCTGAGGGTATGAGTGTTTGTTTTACAGTCATTCATGCAGAGCACTATGCTTATTTGTAGTAGTAAGTTTAACTAGTGTTGGCAGCAGCGAAGTTGTGGCCCCAGTGATTAATATTATACTAGGCCTAAATTCCCAAGAGAGTGGTGGGATCAGACACTTCCCATGATTCTACTTTCTAGTGGTGCACAATATGTTGTTTGTAAACCTTTTATTCGCCTCTGGAGTATTCATATCACTGCAGCCTCAATATCCAAATGAGCGCACAAATCAAAATATTTTTATTTTGTGCTTTACATCAGATTAACCGGTCTTGGATGGTCCAAAAAAGTTATTTATTACCTGTTGATAAAGTATGTGAGCATTAGTAAGTTATTATTTTTGAGTAAATAAGACATTTTGACATAGTAAGAAAAAGAAAAAGTAGCCTAATTATTCTGACTATCTATTTCAAAACATGTTCATTTTCAGGCTGAATTAATGCATTGAATGTGAGTTCTGTACCTACGACACTTTGATGAGTGTTGTAAAATATGCCCAGAGTTTTAGGAAATAGTAGTTTAAAGCATTGTTTTACTAAAAGTAAGAATGTGCCCTGTCAGGCAAATGTTTTTTTTTTTCATCAAAAAGAAATCTGTTTGAAAAACTCCCGTTTTTCTTTGTTGTTGAGCTCCAACAATGGAAGCCATGCTAGTGCCAAAAATATGACAAGCTTTTCTCAGGTGTTAAATAATGCACAGTCAGTATTTATTATCAGTCCTAGTAAATCTGAATAAGTGCTTCATTATAAAAATTTCTTCATTATAAAAATATTTTGTGCTTTGAGATGGAAACTCCCAAGCAATATGGCAAAAGCACAAAAGAGCAGCAACCACCCCTTTCATTTTATTATGGGCACTAAATGGCCATTGTGTCTATTTAATACATTGTGGCAGTCACATTTTAATGCCTAAATAGGATTTGGGACAGCGTAAAACATTAGTAACTCTGACCCTAATGCTGTGTTCACATGTAGATGGTAAACCAGATATTCCATTGCAATGGAGCTGCAATGGAATTTCCACCACTTGCAGCAGCGATCTGCTGACCGTAGCTGTAAGCAGAGTGTTCTGTCAATATTTCAGTTTTTCAAACTTTTGCCATTGGCTGTAATGGCAAAATAAACTACATGTGGCCCTTTCCGGAAACATGGTCACTGAATGCTTGTTTTTGATACCCAGGCGTACCTGTTCATGTACATCAAAACTTTCAATGAAAACACACGATTACAAATATTAACATGTATTCAAATCACTTTTAGGATAAAGTAATAAAATACTGATATCACTATGGCCACACATTCTCACAGTCACAATATATAGCAACATAAATATACAAAATTGACCTGTACATATAAAATTTGCTTTATTCTGTGCAACCTTACTAAATTATTTCATCTTTCCTTAGAACCTGTTTAGCTGGGGTGCTGTCAAAGAGCATTTGCAAAGTAGGTTTTTGTATGTTTTGGTAAAGATTTTGATGTTTATTAATTCCATTAATCATTAATTGCAAATTATATTCAGCTTGTCTCTCTTGCCAGGTTAATTAATAAATTCAGCTAATTGTGATTGAATGGTGGACCCTTGCATGAAGTATAGGAGGATAATTTACTTAGATAGAACCATATAGCCTGTAGTGCAGCTTATTTGCACCAGGATCAGTCTGTCGTTCAGTCAAGAATAGAAATCAAAGGTTGTGTTCGGTAAATTGCTTTGTTTTGCTAACAACAAGTAAGAGTAATGGTTTACAGCTGTGGCAGTTCCCAGTACTAAGTTGTTTACTTCATTGTACAAGATATATAAAGTTGCTTAAGTAAAAATGCCAAGCGGCAAAGTGAATGACTCGTGGGAGATTTAACTTCGAAAATATTTGCAAATGCTCTGCCAGGAGGAAGCGTTTGGAAGGTCTGCAGGAGACTATGCACATCTGTGTTCTCAGTGCAGACTCAGTCTATAGGGACATACTCATCAACTCAGTGACACAGCCCAGCATTTGGAGGAGTGATACGTGGAGGGTGGGAACTGGGCACTAAGTCCGCCTTCTTCCTCCTCTCTCTCTCTTTCTCATTGTTGAGGGGAGAGAAGATCAGCATTTCCACAGCCATTGTAGGTTTCGAGGTTGCATAGAGCTCCTGCAAACAGGTTCTGAATGACTTACATGCTGAAAGGACTGGTGCAGAATCAGAGATGAGAGTGTGGAAGGGCTTGGCCCTCCTTTTGCTATATGTGGCTCCCCTCAATGCTTGGTTTTGGATACCCAATCCCCCCACTACAGAGCCCCCACAGGTGGAAAAAGAGGGTAATACCAGTGGAAAAGCCTTGAAGGAAGAGGACATATCTGAAGTTGGGGCAGAGATCCTCAATGTTGCCAATGGGATTCGGACGTTTGTGGAGAACTGGGACCAGGACCCGACTGTTAATGCAACCACAGTTGCCACAGAGACCACAGCTGGAATCCCTACGACGCAGAGCAATGTCAGCATGGGTAATGCCAAGTCTTTATTGGAGACATTAGATTCTGATTCAGGTAGCAGAGAATCCTCAGGTAATGGTACTCAATCATGGTTAGGCACAGAGTCCACTATGGATGTGGATCAGGAAAGAACAACAAAGCCAATACCAGTGGACTCCCCTAAGTGCTTGTCAAGGGGTTCTGATTGGCCCTTCTGCTCTTCTGGTGGCACTGGGGGTTTCTTTTTGCCCAACTTTCTGAATCACACCAGGTCAGAGGAGGTCATAGCTGTGCTGCACGAATGGGCATGGTTTCTGCGGTCAGGCTGCCACCATGGGGTGGAATGGTTTTTTTGCCTGCTGCTGACGCCACAGTGCCACCATCCCTTGGACAAGGCCTTGGTGGCCCCGTTACCCTGCCGCAGCTTCTGTGAAGTTCTGATGGACAGCTGCTGGACAGCCTTACAGGAGATGGGCCTGCCTGTGGCCTGCCACACCCTCCCTGAGGGAGAAAACCTTGGCCAGCCATGCGTGGTTGTTAGCAACCTCAAAGGTAAAACAGGGTCTTAGTTGAAATGCATCCATGAGCCAAGATGCATTTTGAACTGTTGACGCCTGTCTCGTTGGTGTGTGTTGTTTGTTAAGGTGCCTGTTGCTGCTGCAAGAGGCCCAGCTGTTGCTCTGCTCTGCCTATGCTTTGCCAGGGCTCAGACTGACATGCACCAGAACAGAGACACAGGCAAGGAGTTTGGTCATGCACCACTGCATGTGCTGTGGCATGAGGTCTATGCATGCATGGCTCTTGTAGTTCAGTCAAAAATGATTTGCTTGCATGCTACATTGTCTCGCTAAACATGTTTTCAGCTTGATCACAAAATGTTCTAATCATACATTTTTAGAAGAGATATTCAAAGCAGTATCTTAAATGGGCCACTGTCTACTATTTCTGTGCTGATGTAAATGCTCTGAAGTGTAGTACACCAACTTAAAGCAATGAAAAGCACCTGGAAAAATGAACAAATCATAGCACGTCATAAATTTAGTCTGTGCCTGAATTCACCACGCCAGAATGCTTAGGGGGTTAACCTTATTGATATTGATTTAGGTGCATGACATTTGAGAGTAGGCTATTGTAGTTGTCAGGCTTTGGAAAACCTGAACGTAGTAGGTAAATCATAGAATAGACAGCAATCAGGGGAAGGGGCCTTGTTTCCTTTGCCGAAGTGCCATTTCCGTTCCTCTGCTATGATATATCATCTGAAGACATGTTATCTCTTTTAACATGAGTTTCCCACAATAATCATTTTCCCCCAAGAGGACAAGCATGTTTTAGTGTCAGATAAAAGACTGACATCATATTGTATGTTACATGAACTGGTGCACCAGGCTGGAATTAGCCTTTCACCTGACTCAAACTTCTTTTTTGGTCTGTAGGCTATCTGAACAGAAGCATATAAGGTTGTTTCAGGGCAGGCCAACCCACACTTGATGTGATGCTGTGCACCTAGTGCACTGTGAGGGGATCTGGGCAGTTTGAGTCATGGCAACATTCTTGTCATGCACAGCCATCAGCTCATTCATTGAATGTGTTTCATATGTGGGAATCTGTTGTCACTTGTCTTCATTCCTCTGGCAAGAATTCGTCGCTTTTCCTGAGAGGGAGTGAGTGGATGTGAACAATGGAGTAGTCTGGGATGCTGTGAAGACCACTGGCCTGTGTGCTGAAGAGTCGGAGTGGGCACTCAGAAAAGGCTGCTTATTGTGCCCCTTGTCAGGGAAAAAAGGGCAAGAGGCTTCAGTGCATGCTGGGAGCAACAAGGCCTTCTCTTAGAGTGACCAGACAAGGGAGCAGAAAGGGGTTCAGAGAGCGCCTACATACTTGACACAGAAGAGCTTTTTTCCCTTCTTGATGATGAGCAGTAAAATGATGAATTACATTTTGCAGACATGCTCATGAAGAAAGAGTACATTGTTAGGTGACAGCTGGTAATGTCAGTTTTGCAGGGATTCACACTGTCCAGAGTTTCAGTTGTGTGTGGTTTTACAATATTTCATATTAATGATTGGCTTTGAAGCTAGCACGATGAAAATATAAGATAGGCTGGCCTTGATCTAGTGCTGTGGTCCACACATCATATAAAAAGTACCCACATTACCAAAGGGTTCCAATTATGGGAAAAGTTCTCTGTAACACAAGCTCTTGCTAGGCATAGCAGAATGTGAGGTATTTTGCATGACTAATCCTGTTGCCTGGCCCAGATAGTGAAGCATTTTGCTGTAGATTTTGAGCGTGAAGAATCAAACACAGTAAGGGAAATATACACCCATAGACTCCACCGTCAAGCACAGGGGGGCCAAACTATTTGTCTCCTCTCTCTCTCTCTCTCTCTCTCAAAAATGAAAGCTCCCATTTTTCATTCCTTTGATTTTTCCCCCTCCTTATGCAACTGTGTCTAATTTTATATCTAATCTCTTCACAAATATCTACTATACATAGGATGCACAGAACTATACACAGAAACACTCTAAAACTGCAGAACACTAAGCTGCATGTCTAGAAAAGCAGACATATTGTGAATATTCCTGTAATGGCATCCAAGATTTTTTGGCTTTGAAGTGTTACTGAGCTGGTGCAAGGGGGTGGAGCAGCTTCAATCCCCCCAAAAGCACAAAAGAGGCACTTCTACTGCAAAAACAAAAACCATGTGGGCAGTCATATCATAAAACCATCAGGCCTTTCCTGTCATGCTTAATTCACAGCAACACCTCATTGTCGCTCACTGACTGACTATATGGTGGTGTGTTGCGTTTCAGCTGCACCCCAGACTGCATTTAACAGACTAGAAGCTTTCTGATTTGGTTGCTGCTGAATGAATGCATTCAGCTGTGACAGCTGGCTCAAGCTGGTCATCTCTTTGGGTAACTTCTGGTCGTATCTCTTGAAAAGCATTGAACTTCAGCCTGTCTCAGAAGGGTCATATTATCTTAATAGGGTCTCTTGAGGGTCCTGAGAGGTATTGGATCACAAGAGCTTCCGATTACCTCCTCAGACAAGAATTTTAACCACAATTACCTGACCAACTGGATATGCTCTTGAACAATAACAGAGCTCATTCCAACGACATTCTTTTTTCTCCCTGGCAGCGCAGTTTGGTGCCTTCTCTTATGCATTTCATTTGAAAGCAAATAACATTTTCATGTTTAGGAAATCTCCAAATAAGGAGAAATAAACAATAGCCATGATGTCAAGTACTTTTTTGGAATAACTTAAGTCAGTTTGCTTCTGACATAATAACTGTGGATTGCTGCAATGTTTGCTGCAACATATTAGACTGGTTATATTTATTAATTTTTACTTTTCTGTCCAAAATCTTAGGCAAACATCATTGTAAAACAGTACAATGTCTGGCATGTAGTCAAAAATATTTTTACAATTATTGAAATGCTAATAATATTTGATCTAACAAGACATAACAGACTACAGACTTTTTTTTTTTTTTGTAGCGTTCATTAAGCAAACATTGCACGCTAATATCTATGGTGTTAAAGGACTGTTTATACAATGCTGAAGGTCTTCTACTTGTTTGGCTGAGATATTGTCTGAATTCCCTCCACTTGTGGGAGTATTGGGGACAAATAATCAAACTAATTAATTCACCTCATCATTGTATGGAACATTTTCCATGGAGAGGACAGGCAATTATAACACGAGAACAGGTTGTATCTTGTATGGTTCATGGATGTCCAGTAGGTTTTCCAACCTGTTCAGCTAATTTCGGCATAGTACGCGGTTGAGCATGTTGTAGGATATTTCTGAAATGGACTTTATTAAGCATCCCTATGATGGACTCTTGCTCTCTCTTCCTAGCTATCAGTGGACGGGGATACACATTCCAGTTGCTCTGCTTCCACTGTGCTCTTCCAGGTGGTGGGCCTTCAGGGACTGTGTGCAAGTGTATGTGGGGAGGTAGCATAAGCACGAGTGGACACATCTGGAGTAAATAATGGGAGACTTGTATTCTCGTAATCCCTCGTGTCCGAAACAGTGTGAAGTCCTGTGACAGCAGAGCACAGGAACGTAGCGAATGTTGGCCAAGTGAATGAAGGATTGGATAGCCATGGCGAATGGAGGATCATGTCACACTGCGGAAAAGCTGCCGAGTTGCCGCTGCAGTTAGAAATACAATGATGGAACTGGACTTCCCGTTCCCACAGTCAGTTAGGCTGCTAAGCACTGGTTCACTTGGGACCCCATTACTGCCAGCTGATGTGCATCCCTAGCTTCTCTGCATGCAAGCACAAAATAGGGAATTTGGGGTTTGTTTAAGCAGGCAGTAGAATTAAGTTTTTAGCAGGTTTGATTTAGGCAGGATAGAATTTCTTCATTCTGAAATATGACTTTTTTAATCAGATTGAAGCCCTATTCATATGAGGTTTAAAATCTGGTTGAACAGGTCCACCTGATCAGATCAGTCATGTGACACAGTTTGATGTCTCAGTTTGGACTTTTGCTTTATTCAGTGTCAAAATCATAGGCCACATTGGTTGTCATAGCAAGAACACAAGTGTGCATATGTTGACAAGGCTAGTACAACAAAAGTATGTGCAGAGAATTTGTAGTGAGGAGAATTGCCTCTCAGTAATGTCTTTGGGGTTTGTCAGATGCTAGAGGGCGCTTCTGAGTCTGAAATAAAAGGGCTGTTTATAAATGCTTAATCATTTTTTTACACAGAAAATGGTACTTGTTTTACTGAACAAAGAACAGCATAATATATTTCAATGCTGTGGATATATTTTGAGCACTTTTGAATTCCAGTTATGGGTCTTTCTAACGGTGTTTTATGTACATTCATGATGCTAGCAAGCAGGAACCGCTTCATTTAGCCAATGAGCTGATCAGCACAGCACTCAGTAGCAGTAATGCTAGCAGCCTACTGCCCAAAACCTGTTTACTGTAGAAAAAAGGAAAGATACTGAAACTAAAGTTTTTTAAAATTATTTTTACTGGAATTCATCTTTCTATTTTAAAGAAACTAAATGTTTAATTTTTCAGTTTTAGCAGTTTAGCAGTTCCTTCATTCCCGTTCAATAAGAACTTGATCACGGGTTCCCGGTAGCATTTTGCAATCATGTTTTTGATATAACAGGAAAAATAGCTAAGGAAGTTAAACTGGATCTGGCTTCTACCAGCAGTACACAGTTTTGGATGCAGCCATACTTTTGGCTTGCCCCAGCCTAGACAGCTTACATACGCCTGTGTCATTACCATGACAACCAAAATGGTTATGTAAGCAAATGCAATCATAAATCGGATTTGCTCTGCTAAGTGAACAAAGTGTTAGTGATCCTAATGTTTAAGACAAATTCAAGTCTCTGTGGATGGCGATAAGTCAACTCTGTAAGAGCTAAAATCAAACAATGTCGCACTCTGTTGAACTCTAGTAATGGTGTGCAGTGGTGGTTTACACAGAAATCTTTTCTGTGGCAGTGAAACAACTGCAGTATAAAAGGCCAGCTGTGAGTGAAGTTCCATCAGATTGTAAGAGCCAGATGCATAACTCAGTCTCTTTATAGTCAGTTTATAGTCTGCTGAGATAAATTGTGTTGTTCCCACATCCTAGTACCAATTAAAATTTTGTTTTCACTTCATGCTCACACACAGCCGCAGACTGTATAAACCCAGCAAAATTTCACATAATCAGCCTGCTAATATTAGCCTGGACCTCTTGGGACATACACTTTACAGCCTTTTCTGAGCCGCAGCTCACTATTCGTCTTATGCTTTTTGTGGAAATGGAAATAATCCTTAATAAATCTTGTGTCAATTTCAATCCTCAGAGGCAGTGGAATGTTTATGTATGTTCTGTCATATGTCCCCATGAGGTGCCTGGTCATTTTTTTTTTTTTAGACCATGCAGCTATCCTTTTTTTCCCACAGCATTGAGTGGTGGCAGAATAGACCTTGGGAACTTGTTTGGGCCATTCTCTGTCAAATAACTGGGGCTTACCCTTTGCAGTTCTTAGAGCCTAACGACATACAAAGTGATGTGTAAATGCCCTGTTTTAGCTTTATTGGCAAATTTTTCCTTGACTATGATGAGAAATGGCTTTGATAGATAAATCTTATAAGGGCAGGTTTTAATATGTTATTGGTGGTGTTACATAGTATTCTGTAACGAAGCATTATAACCTTCTGTCTTATTAATGATTTTATATTATCATATGTCATTCATCAGTCTTATCTCACTTCAGTACCCAGCATGCATTTTGCAAATACATCACACAACGCAAATCCCTTGGTATCACTACCTGATCTGCGCCCCCTGCCCAGTTTGCACCACGCATGCATGCCACTGTCATACATGTGTACATTGCATTATGTTTGACAAAACTGCTGGATGTGTACCCTGCAAGCATATATTTTTATGACTTCATATTTGTAGATTAGCTCGGTGTGTTTAATGCTGAAACCACTCACTGTCTTTCTTAGATCAGTACTACTTAGTATTAAGTTTCTTTCTATGGGTGAAGCCATTCAGTTTAGAGACAAAATAGGTACAGACAAAATACTGCCCTGTTATCATTTGAATCTCTTTTGGCTTCCTTACTCCCTATACTGTGCTGCACAGGACATGAAATCATGGCTTATAAATCCAATAATGCCCTGACTGTTAGATAGGATGTTGTGCAGCTGTGACTGAATTTAAATTATTTTGACATTTAATGCAAGTAGTAAGCAATCGAGATTGAGCCTATATTTTACCCAGCTTTGTTCATGCTATTGTTACTGTAGTGCAGATACAGGCTACAAATGCCACCTTACACTTGTTTTGGATTCTGCTAAACCAGCAGCAGACCTATAAACCAGAATAGACCAGCATGGGATTCATACTGGTACATGCTGAGAACTGAAAAGGGATGAGTGCAAAACACACACGCAATTACTACTGAAGAGTATGGGCGTTTGTTACGTCTCAACTACAGTTTTAAACTGCCATAAAATGCTTAGATATGCACAGGTAGTGCTGGTAAGAATAATATTCTCTTATAATCTTGGATATAGAAGGTCTCATGAATAATTTCTACTGAAGCACTAACAAAGCAAACTGAATTGAATGCAGTGTCTATTGTGTTGACAGTATCTGAATTATGTTTGTAGCAGTGATGTTCATGTTATAAGTCTTTCTGAACTGTTTTAACTGCTCATTGTTAACTTAGTGATTGCCTGTGTTGTCTACGTTTGCAGAGGAATATGGAGTGTCTTTGCTGCAGTTAATTGGAAGCCCACCATCCAAAGACATCACGCGTGTAGATGGCCCTGATGGCAACCCTGCTTACCTGTTCGGAGAAGAATCCAGCACTGGACAGCTTGCACGAACCCACCTGCCCAGCCACTTCTACCGGGACTTCTCCCTGATCTTCCAGCTCAAGCCCACATCACAAGATGCAGGGGTCCTCTTTGCCATCACAGACTCCGACCAGAAGCTCATGTATGTGGGGGTGAAGTTGTCGGCTGTTGAGGGCAGCACCAGGAAGGTTAAGTTCTACTACACTGAACCAGGTGCAGATGAATCAGTAGAAGTTGCCAGCTTTGCCGTGCCCTATAATCCTGATGACTGGAGTCGCTTCTCCTTAGCTGTAAACCTCAACCAGGTATCTTTCTATGAGGAGTGTTACTCAGAACCCAAAGTGGTGACCTTTGAGCGCTCCTCAGATGACATAGAGCTGGACTTAGGTGCTGGAATCTTTGTTGGACATGGTGGAACTGCTGACCCAGACAAGTACAAGGTTAGTTCTGCACTCTTTCATATAACTGCTGACCTTTTTTGTCCAAGTTTATTCTTAAAGAAGTAGTTCAGCCAAAAATTTTGGCCCTGCACAGAGCTTTGAACATCTGACTTTACAAATGCAAATAATTTTGGTCAAAATAAAGTTATGTTACAGTTATAATTTAACCAAATATCTCATTTGATCTAATTAAATGTTCCTATTTCTCCAGATGTATATAACCAGTGAAGATATGTTTGGTGTCTGAAGTATACTTCTTTAATTTTGTTCTAGAGCTGTGAGGCTAAAGTAGCTGATAATTAATGGAAGCTTATTCTTCAGCGAATCATTAAATAGTCTCAAAAAGTGGCTCATGACACTATATGGCACACTGTTATCTATAAAAATGGACAAAAGTTTGTATAAAATTTGAGCATCAAGATGACTGCAACTTCTATGTACATCTGCCCATCTTTAACATAACAACAGTGTGAAATGAAAGTGTTTATATTGTGTTCAAATGCTATTTTTATCGTGACAGTTGTACATGATTTTTTGGTATTAAGAAAGCGACAGTTGTGCTGTCCGTTTAAACTTGACCCATCTTTATGGAGAGGTGTGAATTGCTTTCACAGCAGAGGGTTCTCTCAGTTCACTCCTCATTGCTCACTAGCAGCTCAACACAGTCACACCATTTCACACACAGAGACAACAGTGTCTTAGTTAATCTGATAACAGGGGTACAGGGACATATTCACATCAATTTTCATTGTGCTGGTGGAATAGGGGGCCTGCAGAAAGAAGTTAAATGCAGTTATCTGCATACTTCTTTTTCCACACAGTGTACGCTGTGCACTGAGTAGTGCATAAAAATATTTACACTGCTCCCTAATCTCTGTTTCCTAATTATACTTATTTGATGTTGCACATGATAGTAGTTGTTGTAAATCATAATCCACCTTATATTGCATATTCATGAACCGTAAAATGAAACTTCAGCAATGTCATTTATAAGACTATATAAGTATGTCAGTTACATACAAATATTAACAACACTAAGACATTTTCACTTAGTCTTAATTAATGTCTAATGTCTTTTTGCCATTCATAATTGTGATATACCCTAAAAACTAAAATGAGAAGACCACTCATTGGACTTCAAAAGTAAAATAGATTATAAAATTTCATATTAAAAATGTTTTTCAGGATTACAGGAACGTGAAGAAGGAAACATAATTAAAAGCATGGACAAAAATCCAGAAAAATAATTTCGACAAGTTAACATGTTCACACAAACACACATAACCTCACGCGAAGGCTGAACCCAGACAAAAGCTTAAAGAAAATCAGCAGGCTAAAACTCAAAGAAGAGAGAGAGAGAGAGAGAGAGAGAGTGTGTGTGTGTGGTGGGGGTGAGAGTGCCTGCAGGTGTCTTTCCCCTATAAAACAGACTTGGTCAAAGCAGTTATAGCTTTATGCAAATTACATATAAGTTAGACAAGCAATATATACAATTGCTGATTCATTATATTAAAAATCACAACTATTATAATGCAGACTTTGGTTGGTTCAGAGACAAAACACTGTGTCATTGGTGAGATTCAGTCAGCAAAGATAGTGTCCTTCATGTGCGTCTTAATGACATCAGCAAGAGTCGCTCTCAGTCAGGCCTGAGGCCTTGAAGGTTACCAAATGGTTGCCTTTCACCCAGTTATACAATGATAGAAATACCCAGTTCTGGTAGGATATATTTGAGATGAGCATAAACAAGCCTTATCTCCTCTCACAGAAAGGCCAAAGAACTATTATTCCTAGGGGGGGAAAAAAATATATCCTTACGCAAAATATTATATATTAAAAACATTCAAATTTGATTACAGGAGATAATGTGCATCCCTTCAGTAGTTACATGTAGTAACTAACTAACTTTATGGAAGTGCTGCTGTTGCTGCTGGCTCTCCTGCTGTCTCCTTCACTCTCTCTCAATCTCCCACTGTCTCCTTCACTCTTTCTCGCTCTCCCACTGTCTTTTTCAATCTCTCTCGAAATCTTCCCCTCCCCCATCCTTAGCTGCATTTGTTTAGCGGTAGTTGTGTTTTTTGGGATTAATAAAAATGCTTAACATTTTTTAAATGGATCAGAATAAACTTAAATGGGGGTCCATATACTTGGGCGCTCTGTCAAAGTATAACCTATGTGTGGGGAAACTCTGGAAACTTGAAGCTGCTTGAGGCAAGTCTGTGGTGATGTAGGCATGTAGTTTGCACAATGTCCACCACCGGTCACCAGCCCTGGTCTTGATATTTACCTTCCAGCAGAGTCTAGCCCCAACCACATTCTGCCACATGTGCTCCAGCTAATTAACTTCTTGAATCAAAGTCTTTGATTGACTGGATCAGATACGTCAGTGTGAGGAAAGGAGGAGGCTGCGTTTTCGATGTAGGTTGGAACTAAATCCTCCAGGAAACTCCATCTCCAGGAGCTGGTGACCACTGATATATACAATGTCCAATTAGTTTTGTGCAGTTTGCAGCATATAGGCTTCTATTACTTGTTAGGCTTCTATTACTTCTCCAGCAAAACTAAAAAAGCTTCAGACACCCAACAGGTTAAGATAAAATTTTGCAAATGTATTTTTTTGGCTACATCATCACTTTAAATGCACTGTATTGTCATTAAAAAGATCTTGTGTGTGTGTGTGTGTTTCTTAGGGCATAATCTCAGAACTGAGAGTTGTGGGAAACCCAAGGGCAGCTGAACACCGTTGTCATGAACCCGAAGATGACGACGAGGATTATGTAAGGAATATATTTGACAACAATGTTTCCATGTATTCCTTAATATAATGAATGTACTCCAGTTTCAGTTTAGGTCGTTTGGGAAATTTTGGATGTGTTTGCTTAAGTTATATATTCCTTTCAGCATTCTAAAGGTACCACTTCTAGTTGTTGTTCTTAAATGCACATGATTAAAATGCAATGACTGAATTCTTGTTTATTTCTTTCTTCATTTTGACTCCAGAATTCAGGGAGTGGGAGTGGGTTGCATCCAGATATAGATAGAACTAGAGTAAGTAATCCTGAACAAAACCTATTTTAGGTTACTCTTTAATTCTAATAATCTAAACTTATTTATACTCTTAAATAATGAGCTACACAATGTACCACAATAATTAAAATATCTACTCCTATAAGTCAACTACTAACCTTCATTGTGCATTCATTTTAGGAGCCTTCCTTCATGCTTCCACCTCTGCCCCTACCTTCGGTTTTCACATCTGGAAAATCCCAGTTGGACACCTATGATATTATGGAAGGAACAGGTGAGATCATTTACACTAAGGGTCACAAGCCTTATTCACCAAGGGTCACCAATCTTATCCGCCAAGCATCAGTGTGGCTGTAAGTTTTCATTCCAAACAAGCAGGAGCACACCTCATATAAGTAATCAGTTGTTTTGAAGACCAGCTGATTAAACAAGTGGACACACATGTATTTCAAGTGTGAATAGAAACCTGCAACCCCACCAGCTTTTTGTGTGTACATCTGGCAAACCCTGACTTACACTACAGTAGTGCTCATCAACCCTCCTCCTAGACATTTACTTTCCTGCCGAGTTCAGTTTCAATCTGCATCTGTGTGCTATGCCTTCCCACCCACATCCCACCCCACTTAACATAAAAGCCTCTAATCCAGCCAATCAAGAACTTCTGAAGTTAATAAGATGGAGTGCACTCTTAGCAAAAAGGGTTCTATATAGTAACAGAAAGGGTTCTTTGGCCTTTAACAATAGTGGAACCCTTTCTGGTGCTATACAGAACCCAGCATATTGTCCATCTATCTGAAGAACCCTTTCATGAGGCAAATAACCCTTCAATCATGCAAAGGGTTCTTTGAGTGTTCAGGGTTCTATATAGAACCATCTTCTTTGACTAAAGAACCCTTGAAGAACCATCTTTTTTAAGAGTGTAGGTATGGCAGATTGTGGTTGGAGCTGGACTCTGCAGGTAGGTAGATCTCCAGGACCAGAGCTAGTGACCACTGCACCTCAGAAGAAAGAGCCTTATCCACGAAGGGCTGTTGTGGCTGCAGGTTTTTATTCCAATCAAGCAGAAGCACATCTGATTTCAGATGGCATCTTCAAACAATTGATTACTTATTTGGTTACTTGGTTGGAATGGCATTTTGCAGATACGCATCATCCCTGGTCCCCCAGAACTTGGTTTGTTTTCAGTATATGTAGCTTTAAGGGTTCTTTTTTATTTTATCAGTTTTTCTAAATTGATTTGTTGTTGTTATTTTGTTGTCAATTGTTAATGGGTGCTGATTTCTGAAATGCTATCACTACGTTTAAGTTGAAGTCATCAGATGTGGTGCTAAAATCTAGAAATTTAGAAACAAAACACTGCTTTTGAGCTAAATTTAGTGACTTTTGACAGTAGACAGTAGACTAGGATGCTGATCTGACTGCTGTCTAACAGGGCATTACACAGGGAACTGTTGCCCTCTTGTGGACAGTGGTTGTACTTGTATGTGCATTATTTATTTATTTTATTTTATTTATATATGAACCATTGTACTAAATTAGTTCAAACTGTGATCCCACAGTAAAAAAAAGTATATATATATATCAGACTTTAGATATTTACAAATATTATGTTATGATGTATTGAAACCCAAGACATTAATAGAGAAAGTGAAAAGCTGAATACATACAAATTTGTCATTTATAGGATTCTTTCTATTGGGAGGTGGCTGTCATAAACCCTAAACCCTAAATATCAAAACTTTGTTTTTTGTAATTTTTTGAAAATGTTATTTCTAAAAATATCTTTTTGATTTCTTTAAAAGGGATTTGGATTTATCATAAGTATAATTTATAATTTATTTTGTGTTTTAATGAAAAATATGTTCAAAGCTGTGTTTGCTATTCATGTTATGGCTAGTGTTTTTTGTTATGTTCAAAAGTTTTGGTAGCAATATGATTGTTTTTGGTAGTGATAAAATGGCATGTTTAATGATATATTTGAATAAAATAAACATAAGGTACAGAATCACTCAAAGCAGCAGGATTGTAGTCTAAAGTCAGTTAAAAATTCAGAACATGTTTTCAGCTCTGACTTTGAACTAATTTGGTAGAATGATTCATTTACACATTCATTTACACATATAGTTAATTAATGTTTTATTTTGTTCATTTTTGCATTCACGAAACTTTTTTCTTGATCAAAATTAATTAAATATTCTATTCTTGCATACAAAATAAAATAATTGGGGTTGGTGGGATGGCTAAGCACCACCAAATATTCAGAAGCAGCCCGCCTTTGTATATAGTGCAGTCTAAATGGTGAGATATTTTGTTTGATATAATTGTTATTATTTTTTCAATATCATTTATGTTTATTCAGTTTATTACAGTAATATTTTCAATGACTGAATGTGAAAATGAAAATTCCTTCCAGAATCTTTGATATGCTGCATTTTCAAACCATTTTGCTTAGGAGACAAGCATAACCAGAGCTCAGCGGAACCCACACCTGGCACACAAGATCCTAAAGGTCAGTTTACTTTTAATGCACACTTGGCTGATCACTCAGGTTTAGTGTGATGTCCTCCTGTAGTGGTTCACTGAGGTGAAGAGTTTAAGAGGTGTGCATGTCTGATTCAGATGCTTGTTACACTCTTAAATGTTGCTTTTCTTGGTTTTTGTTCTGAAGAGAAACTTTTTGTCCTGGATACTCTTAGCATGTGTTTATACTTGTAGTTTGGTTCCTTTGGTCCAAACCAAAGCAAAAAATTATACATTGTTGAATTTTAGTTTTGGTTTGCTTAGTGTTTGCACTGATATATTTAACATTGAACCAGAAGCCTTAAACAGAAATCATATAAGGTCACTGATTAAGCAGATTTTGTGACATGCAATTACTGCAATGATGTCTACCGAACTTTCTGAATCATGCTGTTTTCTGTTCTATCTGGGCTTGTTGGTTTTAGTTATGTCTTGTTTCATCTGTCTTCCTGTGTTACCATGGTTTTGCTCGATGTGAAGCAGGATGAAATCACTGTAACAGCCTCGAGGGGCTTACTGCTTTTACAGACAAACCTTGAACCCTTATAAAATAATGTAGTTTAAAAATGCAGTAGCATAGTCAAATATTTTACTTTCCTGTTGTTCCTTTGTCTGTTGTTCCTTTTGGCTTATGTGTGTATAAAAAAACGTAACATGTCAAAACGAAAGAAGTGCGAAGCGAGCACACCAATCAGGCTACAGCACGCACTTTGCTATGAGCTTGTTTTGACCTGTTGGACATGTTGCTACCCAATGCAAGCATATGGTTCAACAACAGTGTAACAGCATAAAAGTTTTGGAGTGCCTATTCCTATATAAATGATGGAAAAAACTCCTGACTCTAACCAAACTTTGTGAGAGACCTACAGATGCAATGTAGTAAAGGAAAACTCATTTGTGAACCTGTGTTAGCTTGCTTGTAAAGCAAGTTTTTATTCACTTTAAACTTAAGCAATTTTTATTTAAACTAAGTTACAAATAAATCTTAAACCGAAACTTTGCTTGTTCACAAAAGGTTATTTCATAGCCACTTGGTTCTAACTAATGAAAATTGTTTGCCTTCAGTGTTTTGTGTTGTTGATAATTTTAATAAACAACGGCGTCAGACTAATTAATGACATTCTATTAAAATATTGGTGTTACAAGAGTGACACTAGAGTATTTTCACCTAAAATACGTCGATAAGGCAAGAGTCTTGTTACAAAAATAGGACATTAGAGCCATAATTAATCTTTTAGTACTTTTACTTTACTTAAGTACATTTGAAGCCAAATACTTTTGTACTTTTACTCAAGTGGAGGTCTAAAGGGAGGACTTCTATTTTAACTGGAGTAATTTTTTACCTTGGGTATCTCTACTTTAACTCAAGTACAAAGTTTGTGTACTTTGTCCACCACTGTACATTACACACTCACACAGAAATGTCTAATCCTGAAAGTTGAAATAATCTTATTCTGTTGGCTAATATTCTTTCAGTACCTGTTAGAGACTCATGCCTCCGTTTAGCCACAATTTCTGCTGCCATTGTTAAAGGATGTATCCCAATGACATGCTTTTGAGACAAAACTGCAATAAAGATATAGAAAACCTTCATGAAACAGGCTGCTAAAAAAAAATACATCCTCTGCTGGGAACAGACTTAAATATGGCATTTGTCTGCACTGTAAAAAGTGGCTTGTCAGATCTACCTAAAAAAGTTACTTCACGTTACTACACATTATTCAACCTAAATAAATACTCTGAATGAACAATTCTTTCAATCAGTGTAGTTCTTTAAGTTGAATAAAACTAGTTCAATTGCTTGTTACTACATGAAGTCATTTTTTAGGTAGATCTAACAAGCCACTTTTTACAGTGTGCATATTGTAGCGCATAGTTTCTATTTATTGGCTGTATTGAAAAATTAAATTTTTTCTCAGAATCTATGATATGCTGCATTTTTAAATCATTTTGCTTAGGAGACAAGGAAAACCAGAGCTCAGTGGAACCCACACCTGGCACACAGGGTCCTGAAGGTCAGTTTACTTATAATGCAAACACATAATGATTCTTTCAATCAATGTAATTTTTTGAGTTGAATAAAAGTAGTTCAATTGCGTGTTACTACATGAGGTAATATTTTTAAGTAGATCTGATGAGCTGCTTTTTACAGTGTAGACTTTTGACAGGCAGTTTATATCTTACCTCTAAATTGCTATTAAGTGCACTGTAATTTTTGTCCCATACTTATGATGATTGCTTAGCTATGCTAAATAATATATTGAGATATTTCTGTTTTCTCCAGGTGTCAAAGGAATGAAGGGAGATAGAGGAGAAAAGGGAGACCAAGGAGCCATGGGCCCAACGGGGCCAAAGGGTGACTCTGGACCTCCAGATATATCATTTACATCTCAGGATGGAATCAGTGGAGTTAAGGTACATGATGATTTGTCTATAGAGACAAAAATGAATGACTGAATGTACTGATGGTTTGAAGGGTTACAATACAAGAAAATAGACTTACAATTGTATGCAAACATTTGAACACCCCTGGTCAAATTATGTGTTTTGTTGATTTTCTAAGTGAAAATGCGTTAACGCACCCTCTACACAGAACCATGAATGTATGGCATTTTCTACAAATTTAATGCACAGTTTCTATTTATTTGTTTAACATATTAGAAAGTTTAACACATTGGAAAATAATATACATATAAAATGTGCCATGGATTTTTAAACTTTCTTTCGATATGTTAAATTCAGCAAATAAACAGTAATTGTGCATTAAAAGAGGGCCGACATCCAGCAGAGTTTGGTGATTTACCTGCTCAAACACACCTGATTACACTCATCTGTTTAGTGGGTGTGTTTGAGTAGAGAAGCTACCAAACTGTGCTGGACACTGGCCCTCCAGGACCGGAGTTGTGCACCCTTGTCCTACATTTTTCTCGTAGTTTATTTTTTCTTGGAGGTCCACTTATAACAGTTGCTTGGTTTTATGTACCAAAAATGGTCATATTTAAGTTTTACTTGAAGATTTTCCAACTTCACTTAGACCTGAAACACTGCTTAATACTTCATTGTGAATGGGTGGAGCTAAACTGCTGCGGGCTGAATAAGTGGATATATGAAAACAAGTCGCTTCCCGTAATGTCACAGAAACAGTGAATTCAAAGCAAGCTGTTTTGCAGCTTGGTTTCCATATAAGGACTGTATGGACTGGGGAATAAATAGCATGTTTTGAAACTTTGAGGCCCTTTAATAGCTAAAGTAGACTTTAGTACTGCCGTGTACTATCCATTAAATGCTGACTGGACCCAGGCACATATGATAGGAGGCTGTCCAATGTTTCATGATTTATTTCTCTTATTATCTCTCTTGTGTCCTCAGGGTGACAAAGGAGACAAAGGAATGAAGGTAAATCATACCTAAATATCAGTTTATGCAATCAAGAGATTTTCATCGATGCACTCTCTTTCTGTAAGCTTTGGCTGCATAAAAGAATCTGAATCACACATAAATAATGAAAAATGATTTTATAAAGAATTCATTAATGTTCAGTCCTTAGTTGTGGGTTTCACATTCAGCTAATATGGTTAATACCCCAAACACTCACACAGGGTAGTCCTGGCTCAGGTTATCCAGGTCCTAAAGGTGATCGTGGGCCTCCTGGTCTGCCAGGACCACCTGGTCCTCAAGGTCCAGCTGCAGAGTTGATCAACATCGGGGAGGGAAAAATGGTTGAGAGGGTGGTGGGACCAGTGGGCCCACAGGGACTGCCAGGCCCTCCAGGTCCACCAGGGCCTCCTGGACCTGAGGGGGATACAGTGAGTGATCTTATGATTCCTTTTAACAGTTAGGCAAAATAGTTTGATTTATTTATGTATTTATTTTTTGTTAAAATTGAAAGATTGCTGGGCATTACTGAGTCAAGGGAAAAAAACTTGCTAAAATGTGGTGTGTGCATGCTGTTGTGAGTCACCCTAAAATAGTAAGGTAAAAGTCAAATGTGTCGGGTTGGGTTTTGCGTGAGTTCAAGACCAAGTCATACATTTTTTATGTATTACTGTCACATGCACAGGCTAAAAAAGGTCTGGCTTGTTGTGTAGGACTCAATTGCAAAATTAACATAATGCTGATGAGGATATGATGACAGTTGTAGAGATAAAACTCATTCTTTAAAATGTACAAATTCTCTAAAACTATAAAATGTACTTTTTATAGATAAAAAAGGCTAAAAAAAGGTTTGAGGCTAACTGACAGACTGTGAGCTTTTATTACTACTATATTACTATACTGCTTCTATACTTATACTACTTGGCTACACAAGACTTAAATAACCAAAAAATAGAGTGAAAGGGGAACTGTCTGAAGCCAATATCGAGTATTTTTCAAGTATGTATCTGGTGATACCGATGCTGATACATAAACATTCATAAAATGTAGAAATTGAGACAAAATGTTCCTGGATTAACATTACACAGAACAAAAACATATATTTGTGTAGAGTTACAAATTCAGTAAAATAGTAAAATTAATAAAATGAAGACATTGTAGCACAGTTGCCCGTCATTACCTAAACATTCTGCTCTTCTGGAGTAAAACAAACACACCATCGAATAGACATTTGAAGTATCGGTCAAATCTAAGCTTCTGTCCCATTATTTTTGTAAATATATGCTGATACCAGTATGATTCCTATATCATCATGCATCTCTAGCCTTGAAGTTCCAGTGCAGAACTAAAGAAGCAAACTTTGGCTTATCAATTTGTCAGCTAACAGTTACAACATGGTCCTTTTAAAAAGGCTGCCGGGCAGTTATTTCCAGTCATACAAGAATTCCTTTGAAAGGTGAGAGACCTAAAAACATTAAAAAAATGAATGCAAAATTACTGTTTCAAAAACATATTTGAAATCTGACCAAAAAACTCATCGATAGTTTTAACATTTGGCTCAAGTAATGCATTTTTTGTGTTGTTCTAGCTACTATGCTTGTGCAGATCTCCACAACTAAGGCAAGGTTTTCTGGCTCTTGGTTTTACATGAAAGCCGATTGGCTCTTTTTAGTGAAGGCGGGACTTTCCTCATAAACAGAAGCCAGGTTGAGCTTTCCCATTCATTTTTCATTCAGTGACCTGTCTTCTCCTTCATAACGCCTCTGACAGTGTGTAGAACTGTAGATGGAGAATCCTGCATCGGTGCTAGAATTAGAATTAGAATTCAGAACCTTTAGCCAACTATGTTTTTGCACACAGAGGAATTAGATCTCCACATTTAACCCATCTGTGCAGTGAAACACCCACATACATGCACACTAGTGAACACACACACTAGGGGGCAGTGAGCACACTTGCCCGGAGCGGCCGGCAGCCCTATCCAAGGCGCCCGGGGAGCAGTTGTGGGTTAGGTGCCTTGCTCAAGGGCATTTCAGTCACGTACTGTTGGCTGAGGGGTTCAAACTGGCACCCTTCGGTCACAAGGCTGGTTCCCTAACCTCCAGACCATGACTGCCCCTAGTAGAGCCCTTGGTGTGTAAAATTCAAAAATCCTTTTCTATTTCTATTTTGTTTGACAGGGTGATCCAGGAGAAGATGGCAAATTGGTAAGAATATGTATAACATACTATGCACAGTTGCATTACATAAACAGTAAAATAGCGAACATTAATTAATTAATCATCTACTCCATGCTTCCATTTAGGGTCCTGAAGGGCCCCGTGGCTTTCCAGGAGTACCTGGTAACCCCGGAGCTAAAGGCCAGAAGGTAACTTTTTAGGAAAAAATGTACACTAGAATCCACATAATATAACACTCCATAAATTGCATAAATTTTATGGCTCATGTGATTCTCCTCATTGCTCTTCAGGGAGAGAAAGGTGAAGGGAAGCCAGGTCCCAGGGGCAAGACTGGGCCTCCAGGACCACCTGGACCTTCAAGCATAGACTGGGCAGTAAGTAATAACAGCAACAGTGTGTTTCCAGTCAATGCCACTCTATTGCTTTAATGTTCAAGACCCAACATGAGTTGCATGACTTTCTCATGTCTCCTCTGCAGACTTTTGTGGACATGGAGGGTTCTGGATTTCATGATGTGGAGAGGTGGCGGGTATGAGTCTTTTGGCATCTTTCTGAATCTGAAACTGATGGTTTTATATGTTTTCTTTTTTTTTCTTCACTCATAGAATTTGGTTTAGTTTGTCCTTCTCGTCTGTTTTCTCAGGGGCTTCGTGGTCCTCCTGGTCCACCAGGACCCCCTGGGCTTCCAGGGCCTTCAGGGCCTTCAAGGCCAAACATCACAGGAGAAGGAATAGGATTTGGCCCCCCAGGGCCTCCCGGACAGGATGGGGCCCCAGGCCAGCCTGTACATAGATTGTGCTTTTATCACTTGTTGCATTGATTCTTTGTTCTATCTTGATCAGTGGTCCACACAATATTCTTACCTCCTCATCCAGTGAGCAAAGGGCTTTTATTAATACTTCAAATTATTTTTAATAGCCAATAATCTATTTGTTTTATTTTACTTTCTATTATGAATGTTTGCAGTGATTTGCTACAAATATTTGCCAATTTTGCTTGAACAAAATCACTTAACATTGCGTTTTATGAGCCAACAGCGCTAACATTTATAAGCATACATTGTTGATGATTTTATCTGATATTATGAAATCTTGCTGTGCAAAACAAAATAACTCCATTGAGACTGGTCTGATGTCATGTTGCTTTTACTTAGCACTGTCAACCATCAGCTGAAACTAACTTGACTGATTTAACTTTCTAGCTATGCTAAAACATGCCACAAAAAAAAGTTTTGATAGGATTGTGCAGAACTGAAGAGCATATGTCACATATTTATGGACCACTCTTCTAGACAGTATTGAACTGTATGCAACCATAAGAGAGTATGTAAAAACAGCTGTAATTTGCTACTATCTTCTCTTGTTTATATAGGGGCCACCTGGTCAACCTGGAATCTCTGGTCTGCCAGGGCCACCAGGACCCCCCGGCCAGAAGGTATATGATGTGATTATGAGGTAGAGAGTTTATAATATATGAGGTTGTTCTTGCCTACTATGTGCTTTTCTTCTGTGTGTCTTTTTAGGGTGACTGTGGTGAACTGGGGCTTCCTGGGGCAGTTGGGGAGAAGGTAACACATAGTGCCTATGCAATGGCTCTTTGATAAGGACTGTGGTAATCCTGCACATATATAATGAAATTCAAATTTAAGATTTTGAATCAGGAATGATGGGAAATGGTTTTGTCATTATATCAGTATTGACTGAAATCAATATTAAACTATTCAGTATTCAGGACTGAAGTTGACTTGACCGGAATTGAAGCTGAAATTGTCTTAGACACCTTGTTGTGTGTGTGTGTGTGTGTGTGTGTGCTTTAAACCCTTTATTATTTTGTGAATTTCTACATAAATGTGACCTAAAGTATGATCTCAGCTTTATTTAAGTCAAAAAAAAGATAAAGAGAACCCAATAAAACAAACATGTAAAAGTATGTGAACCTCTAGAATTTTCAGTTTCAGGGATATTTAGTCTTCAGCATCAAAGTCTGATCTTTACCAGACACATGTTTGTGCATGACATGACTCAATTGAGATTTCAATTGAGAAGGACCTTATTAAAGAAGTCCAACAAAAATGATTCCAAGAATAAGTCGTAGAATATACTGGGAGATCACAAAAATGCCTGGGGTAGCATCTAAGGATCTGCAGGCCTCTCTTATACTGGCTAATGTCAGTGTTCATGAGTCCATAATCAGGCAAACACTGAACAAGAACAGTATGCATGGTATGATAGAAAAAGCCACCACTCTTCAGTAAGAACATTTCTGCCTGTTTAACATTTCCTAAAGTTCACCTGGATGAGTCAGAAGACTACTGAAATATTGTTATGTGGACAGATAAGAAAAAATGGATCTTTATGCCTTAAATGAGAAACGTTATATTTGACAAAACCTAACACTGCATTCCAACATAAGAACATCATGTTAACTTTAAAACATGATGGTGGCAGTATCACAGTTTGGGGCTGTTTTGCTGCTATTGGACCAGGACAGCTTTCCTTTACTTGATGGAGCTATGAAAGTTAGGGCCTCCATCCATGAGCTGAACCTCAAGTGAAGGTGGGGCCTGCAGAATAACAAAGTCTACAAAGAATAGCTAAACAGAAGAAATGTTATATATTGTGATGGATGAATCAGAGGTAAAGCAGTTCTGTAAGGAGGAATTGGCCAAGATACCTTCAAGTCAATGAGCAGGGCTAAACAACAGTTTCAGGAACTGTTTGGTTGAATTGCTGCTCAAGGTAGTTACACCAGTTACTGTTACTATCCACTCGAATGAAGATCTGATCATATTTTAGGTCACATTTTTGTAGAAATTCACTTTCAAGCAGCAATGTGTGTGTGTGTGTGTGTATATATATATATATATATATATATATATATATATATATATATATATATATATATATATGGGCAGTATATATAATAGCTGTTTAAATTTTTTGATATATATATATATATATATGTGTGTGTGTGTGTGTGTGTGTATATATATATATATATATATATATATATATATATATATGTATATATATATATATATGGGCAGTATATATAATAGCAGTATATATAATAGCTGTTTAAAAACATTATAAGTAGTGATGTGAGTATGTATGTCAGTGTGTTTCTTTAGCTATTTCTAAAACTCAGGGCAAATCAAGTTTTCTTTAATGTCAGTCTTCAATATAACTTATATACACTGAATGAAAGGTTGTTCTCCGGGCCCTTGTGGCAGCCCAGTATTACTTGTAGTTATTATCCAGTACCTAATTTGGTTAATCAAACCCTAAATTATATCTGGTGTGCTGGTGATGGAACTTAACAAATCCATGTAATGGCTGAGGTTTCAAGGAGAAATCTGGAACTATTTTTTTTCAAGCAAGTTCAAAAGACATTAACTACTTTTTTGGAAATAGGAATTTCTTGTTCTTTTTTACTTTATTTATGTTTAATTGTCTTTAGTCTTATATAGTGTTTTTCGAAGAAAAACACATCGCTGAATGAAATGGTTTTAAACAATTTGCTTAGGTGACTTTAGGCTATTGCACAATACTGTTTATTATTGGTCTCAGTCCAGAATTTCTATATCAGTGTATTACTAATCAGAATCTTTGTTCTATTCAACATTCAGTATGAAGTCGTATTTCACATGAAGTCTAACTGTGCCTTCAGTACAAATCTGATCTGTATGAATTAATATTATTGAATGAAGCACTGATACCGGAGTTTGTCTTGTGCTGGGATGCCAAGCTTTTCCTTTATGCTTCTCTCCTTCTAGCAAGACTCCTCCTTTTCCTCTTTTTTCTCCTGGTTCAGTAAACCCTGGGGAACTAGTGAGGTATCTGGTGCTATGCATGTCTTTTTAATTCCTGCATCTTGCTTTCAGTCTAACCAGAACATTAATGAAAACTAACTTCATCGTGAAACCAAATACCACTGAAGACTTAGGGGCAGATTTACTAACATTTTGCATTGTTATTGTGATTTACTAAACAGGAGCAGTGGCACTTCAGAGCCTATAAAACAGATGAAAGGGGTGGAGCTGCTCTTTTGCGCTTTTGCTTTATTGCATGTGCATTTAAAGGAGTTTCCCTCTCAAAGCGCAAAACACTGGGGGGAGATTATTATAATGAAGCTTTTGTTATGATTCACCAAGACAGATAGTAGATACTAACTGTGCATTATTTAACACCTGAGAAAAGCTTGTTTTATTTTTGTCACTAATGTGGCTGCCATTGTGCTCAGAGAAAAAAGAGTTTATCAAACACGTTTATTCTTGATGGGAAAAAACACTTGTAAATATATTCATTTGATGAAGGAAATGAAAACCAAACCAAATAGTTTTAGAAAAAAATTATGTTTTAAACTGCTGTTTCCTAATACAGTATCCTAAAATATTAGCACTCCTGGTAAACATGAACAAAAAGGCTATAAAAAGCATTTTTTATTGCTTATCCATTTGATCTTTCTTTCAAAATATCAACAAAAATCTAACTTTTATTTTGAGGTACAATGATTAAAAGAAAAAAAAAACAATCTTAAACAACAAATAAATAAATATGAAATAAATATTTTTCTCAAATCTGTGTGTGCCAGTTGTTGGCATGCCTTCATTTAATACTTTGTTCAGCCTCCCTTTACAAAGATAACAGCTCTGAGTCTTCTCCTGTAATGCTTAATGACACTGGAGAACAAAGGATCTGAGACCATTCAAGATCCTTAGATTCTGAGGTCCATGCTTCATCCTAAAGGTTTCTTATGGTGTTCACGTCAGGGGACTGGGATGGTCATGGCAAACCCTTGATTCTGTTGTCAGGTGGCCATTTTTGTGTAGATTTTGAGGTGTGCTTTAGATCATGGTCGTGCTGGAAGATCCAACAATGGCCCAGTTTACGCTTCCTGGCTGAGGCAGTCAGATTTTGATCTGCTGGTAATCGATGAAGTCCATGATAACATTTATCAGAACAAGTTCTTTAGGGCCTTATGAAGAAAAACAGCCCCACAACATCAGAGATCCACCACCATACTTCACAGTGGGGATCAATTACTTTTCTGCAAAACTATCTTTGTGTTAAGTCAGGTCAAATTTATTTGTATAGTGCTTTTTACAACTGATGTTGTCACAAAGCAGCTTCACAGAAATCCATTAAGGACAAAGTTTTAACATGAAATGTAAATCCTCCAAGTGAGCAAGCCAGGGGCGACAGTGGCAAGGAAAAACTCCCTCAGAGCTGAGGAAGAAACCTTGGGAGGAACCAAGGCTCACATGGGGGGACCCATCCTCCTCTGGTCAAACTACCTACAAAATTATTATACTACTAATATTAATAGTAGTAGTAGTAGTAGTAGTAGTAGTAGTAGTGTCTATGCTAAACCCACTTCTGGTGTTGCCAAAAAGCTCTATTTCTGGTCTCATCTGACCATAGTATACAGTCCCACTGTAAGTTCCAGTAGCATCTGGCAAAAGGGAGCTTGAATTTGTTGCTCCTTGACAACAGAGGCTTTCTTCTGGCAACCCTTCCAAACAACTTGTGGTTATGTAGGTTGTTTCTGATTGCAGTTTCGGACAAGTTTTGACCCCAAGACCTCTCTAATGTCTGCAGTTCCCCATTTTTTTATTCTTGGAGATTCTTTGGCCACTCAAACTATCATTTTCACTCTGCCTGGGGTCAATTTAGACATACGTCTTCATGCCGGCAAATTCTTAACATCTTCAGCTGCTTTAAACTGCCATTCAATGGTTTAGCTTTTTTCTCGTAGCCATTTCCTGATTTGTGCAGCTCAACAATCTTTTGTTACACACTAATGCTGTATTAAGGGGTCTTTCTTCATAGTGATGGATGGCTGAGGGAATTTGGCCTGTGTCACTTCTGTGTTTATACCACAGTATAACAGAAAGCCAAGGCTGACCATTTCATTGTTCCTTATCACTCAAATGAACTTTAAAGCATAAAATATGAAGGGGAATATATTTCAGTTAAATTTCTAAAATATTCTTTTCATGATAAGATTTATTTTTTTTATTCAATCGTTGTATTTCAAACAAATGTTGTTCGTTAATACTTTGAATGAAGTATCAAAAAGGTAAGCAATTAAAAATCTGTTGTTTTGCTCATGTTACCAGGGGTGCCAGTATTTGTGGAGGGCACTGTATTTTGGATATATTTTACACTATCAAAGAGCAGGTTTTGTCTAAAAAACGATTTGACAGTTTTCTTTCTTAAACAATTAACCGGTAAAAGCACACATCGGAAATCTTTCGCTTTACAATCCCTGCTTTGCTACTTTTTACTGTGTTATTCCCGCACTGTGGCTTCTATAGGCTGTGGTTTATTTATGTGTGTGCATGTCAGAAATGTCACATTCTTTGATGTACTGCATGTAGCTTAGAGATTATCCTTAAAATCATATAATTCCCAAATGTCCTGAGTGCGCTGAGTGACCTGAGGGAAATTAAACAGGGGTTTTTACATCAGACGGTTTCCAAATGCAGTCAGCTCATCCCAGTTCAGTTCATCCCACCAGCCGAAAATGAATGTATTTCAAAACGGAAAGTGAAAAATAATACTTATTTTTCTTGAATTTCTGATGAATTAATGTCTTACTTTCTCAAAACAATTACTCTTGTTGAAATAATTACATATTTTCTCTGTAAATAATATATTGTTTTGCGAGTTTGTTATTATTCTGATTTACAAGTCCCAATATTGAGAAAAGAAGTCATTATTTCAACTAATTAGTTGATTTGAACCTGAAACAAAGAATGATTAAATAACACATGGTTATACTGCACTGATCATGTTAACTACGAAGTTGTGTGAAGTTGTGTTTGCCTGCAAGTGCTTAGTAGATAACTCACTAAAGTGGCTACCCCCAGTGCAAGTTGTTGGTAAACTGTTGAAAATTAGTGCCTCTCTTAGTAAATCTGCCCCTTAATGCTTAACACAACTGAATGCTTTAGTGATGCACAAAATAGCCTGCATTTGGATTGGAAAAAATTTGATCTGGCTAAGGTGAGTTGATATATGGACAAAAGAACATGGTAAAAGAGTTGGGGTTTTGGATCAGGTTTGAGTAATGATTTTAATTATTCCAAGAAATTGGCTTAAATTTCCCAGAACTCTCTAGACAGTGTTGCCAGATCGGGTCAGTTCCTGCCAAATTGGCCAGACTTTGGTTGGATTTGCCTTGGGCAAAAGGTGCTTTGGTGGGTGGACAAAATTTGGGCTGGTCTGCCATTGTTTTGGTGGGTCTAAAATTAATAAACTGAATTACTTGCAGCGGAAATTTGAATAGACCTAATTTATCCCCAGATCCAGTCAATTCTGAAAGCTTTGATCGACATACATTTTAGTCACTCTGTTGAGAGGCAGCTGTTGCTCCCACTCACCTGTCTCTTTTGCAGTCCACTTCAGCGATTACCCAGTGTATTGTTGATGTAATGGACATGCTTTCAGAGCCTAACATAGCATGGATTATCCAGTTCACTCTATGTTACTGTTTGTACATAGTTCTGCAATAGTAGGAAATTGTATTGGCCCGTGATCCATTCAGCACAGCCTATGAAGGTAAGCCAGTTTTAAAAAGGCATATGAGAAATCGTTATGCTTGCAATATTATTGCTATTAATTTGAGCTCTGCAAGTTGCCAAAACAAGATACACTTACAAATCAAATAATTTAATACTTTTATTAAAATAGTTATAGTTTCTTTGTCCAGGCATTTCTTAGATGTTTGACAGGGATACTTAAAAATTATGTAAAAAGCTTTTAGTTTTTTGTAGCAGTGATAAACACATTCTTTTAAATGATCAACAGTGCCATCTAGCTACAAAAGCAAAACATCAAGAGAAAGCATACCCAGAATTTATTATTGATGTCTTGTTGGTTAAATGCCTTATTATTTCATGCCATGGTTAAAACGACCTTTTTGGGTAGATTTTTGGACATTTTTTAGCTGGACGTAATCTGGCAACCCTGTCAGTGGTCTGATGTGGGTAAAGAAAACATGCAATGTGTCACTAGTGTGCATTTGTTTTGAGAAGTTCTGAAACTTAAAAAGCAAAAATTGAGATGCAAATCTATCATTGCTGTGATACCAAAACCTCCTAACTCCAATTTTTTGTGTTAGACCAGAGGTGCACAACTGCAGTCTTGGAGAGCATAGTTTTGTAAAAGGGACTAGTCACATTGTCAAATAGCCTCAAATTTCCAGCCCTTTTAATAAACATTCAGAACAAAAATCACAATATTTGTGGTATCCTCTAAAGATATTGAGAACCTATAAAGCTTGATTCCTGTGTTTCCCAGAGTTCATGTGGACAGCTACAGCTGGTGGGGACGTGGCTATATTAGCACTGAATAGCATGAATACACCCCTTCAGCTACTGTGGGTCATGTAGCCTCACGATTTTTAAAGATTTATGATTTCTGTGGAATTAATAAATGTTTTTATTCAGTCAGTTTGATTAGTCAGTTAATAATGCGAACAGGTGCTGCTGAAGGGTGTACATGGAAAAAGTCAGTCTTTATGACTTTATGACGGTTTTTAAATAACAAATTTCCTTTTGAACAGCATCAGCTCCATACTGAGCTCTTTTTGTGGTCAAAGATGAACTTGTTGTTCATTAAAAGCTGAGCTTCAGAATCAACTCCAGAGACGTAAATGCGTTGCTAGACTTTGGTATTCCCGGTTGCTGAAACTTTCTTTTCTGTTGAGTTTGAAGACGGTGTATTAGTGGATGGTTATGGTTGTGGATGTCTGTTGTGAGTGAGTGAATGGGAGAGTCATGCTTTGGTGATTCTTGGAAGATGAGTCCTCTTTCTATTTGAAACATGCCCAAAGCCACCACACCAAGTTTTGAAGTGGCTTTCAAAGCAAAGACATGTTTTTTCTGACTTTTGGCATGACACAGCACCTCCTGACTGTAAAAAATAGCCATATGTGATTGATCAGTTTTAATTGATGGTTCAGTATGTGTCTTTGAGTACCAAACTGTGCTGGACACTAGCCCTCAAGAACTGGAGTTGTGCACTCTTGTTGTAGTGTCATTGTCAATGTTGTATTCATTGTTGCATGTTCTTAACCTAAAAGATATGATGCCTCAGAGCATGCTTGTGTTCACTTAACACTATAGTTTGGGCCCCTCTATATTAGTCTGGGCCCCTCTGGTAAAATGACATGTTTTGTTGATTTTCCAAATATAAAATAAGTTAACTCATCCTCTACAGAGAACATTCTGCTGCACATTTTAATACATAATTACTGTTTATTTGCTGAAAATGGAATATAAAATCCAGCCTATGCAAAAGTTATGGAACATATTATATTTTCTGTTTTATTTTTTCCAAAATGTTAAACTCAGAAAATAAGTAGAAATTGTGCATGAGAATGCAGTGCCTTATTTAAATTTGACCCTTATAAAGTACATTTGTACTTATTTTCATTTAGAAAATCAAGACATGTCATAAAGACCAGCCTTGCAGTGCAGAAATGTTTCCATGAACAGGAGGTGGAGGTGTTGGGGGTCTTTCGCAATTCTAGTCCTTAAATACACCTGATGGAGTTTACACATGATTACACACAAGAATAACTTGATATTTGGCTGCTAAGCTGAATTGAACATATTCGAGCAGGAAAACACCAAACTGCATTTCAGGTGTACTTCAGCTCTGTGCCTAAAGTCATGTACTTTGTGCTTACCTAAATTGACTATAACCTAACATGCCCAGTTACCATTCTAACATTTTATAATCCTGCGTATCACAATTAGCTTAATGCAAAGAGCGTCATTGTAAAAAAAAAATACATTTCTTGAAGGACAAATACATTTTACTTTTGGAATTCTGAAAGTTTCAAACCAGGGCTCTGATGGCCCCTCCCCTTTTGCTATATTGAAGTGACCAATGTTCCACACTTCAGTTAGTACACAGAAGAAGTTGTTTTGACTTGATTTGAGGCACAGAGCAGGACTGGGGTTGTAAAACAGATTTCACAGATTTCATAAAGAGTTCAGAGTGGTTGTAAGGGAGTTTTTAAAAGCATAAAACTCTTCAGACATCTGATTCCTATCACTGCCACTGTGAGCAATCCTGACTGGCTATGTTTCTCCATCAAACCACTCTAAATGATTGTGTTTACATCTTAACCATTTAATTATTCAGATATTTAAAAAAAAAAATCTGTGGAATTCCCCTTTAAGAGTCTACATTTCCACCTGCAGGGAGCAGAGGGCACAGCAGGGCAACCAGGTGACCCTGGACAGGTAGGCCGGGCTGGGCTGCCTGGACCTATGGGCCCTATGGGACCACAGGGGCCTCCAGGTCTCCCTGGACCTCCTGGACCAGTCATCAGAATCGATAGTGTATGTCACTGTAAACTGCCTTTGAAACTACATTACCTTTTAGTACTCTTTCACACTACCCGTCGTTTCAGATACCTAAAAGTATATGTATATTGATTTTTTTTTGCCCTAATGGTGGCTTACACAGCTGAAAGGTTTGGGTCAGTGCTTATGCGCACTGACATCATAACGGTATGAAGTGTATGGAATTTGGCATGATACCCAAGACAGTGCTGGTATATTGTTTTCCTCAAAATTAACTTGGTTAGTCTTTAATAAGTTCTAATTGAAAACTGACATCAAATTTTTGATAGCCAGGGTATGTTTGATTGCAACATGTTTTAAAAGTAAATTTCTAAAACCCCCTTTGTAACTTTACTTAATGTTTATATTTAGAAAGAAGAGATGTCAGAAGTTCCTCTTCAGTATATTCCAGGAGTATTGGGGCCACCAGGTCCACAGGTAAGCTTGTCTAAGCTTGTCTTTTTTTGCATATGGTAGTCTTTAAATCTGCTTACATCATCCCAATTCTTTGTAAGTTCACTGTAATGGGTAACAAGTTCAGCCAAACAAAATTTAGATACCTATTTGCTATTTTTAGCCTCCAAGTGATGCTGTAAGTTGTTGGGTTTCAAATCTACATTTGAAAAGACCTTTGAGTGTACAGCCAGGAATGTTACTTGTTACCTGTTTTCAATTCTCTTGAATGTGAAGGCCAAAGCTACATATTCACTGCTGTATTTTCTTAGTTTCGGTGATGCTTACACCGAAATTATAAACAGAACTAGCTAACATTTTGCCAGAGCAAGCGTTTTTGTAAATAATCAAGAATATTTGTCATATTTAAAATTATGTTTGGTTAAATGTTCATATTATAGCAATTGTTTTGTAGTTAAAAAACAAACTGATGGTCAATGGTCCACTAGCGGTACCACCACAGGCCACTGGAGGTCTGCAGCCCACAGGTTGAAAACAACTGCTTTACATAAAATCTGTTCACTGCCTTATTAATCCTTTCCACAATGTCTTAACTGAGTATTATTTTTTTGTTGATGTTCATTGGTTCCAAAATTAAATATTAATAAAAAAATAATAAAAATGGAGGTTGTTTATGTTCAGTTGACTTTAGATTTTAGGACTAGTGATTCTAAAATTTTAGAGAAGAAGAGACAGAGAATAACCATATCATTGCTCCCAGTTACAATGTGAAGACTATAATATAATAATAATAATTAATAATGTTTTAGGCTATGTATTAATGTTATAATTAAAAAAACATATAAAATAAATAATTATATATTTATCTGTGATGTATAATATAATAATTTTCTGGATTTTAAATATTAATATGGAGTTGGTCCTCCTTTTGTGGCTGTAACTGCCTCTGCTTTTCTGGGAAGGCTTTCCATGAGATTTTGAAGTGTGTATGTGGGATATTTGTGCCCCTTCAGGCAAAACAGCATTTGTTAAGTCAAGCACTGATGCTGGATGAGAAGGCCTGGCTCGCAATCTCAGTTCTAGTTCATCCCAAAAGTGTTTACTGATGTTGCTTCTGTAAAGCAACCTTGTTTTAAAAATCATTCTTTTACTCTTGACAGTAAGTGTGTTTTTCTTTACAGGGACCACAAGGAATTCCTGGATTGCCGGTGAGTTGCTGCACCAGCACTACGGCTGTCAAAATAAAACTTGACATTCAAATATTTATCAAATTCAAAGAAAAAGGTACATTCAAATAGAAAGAGTAGAAAATGTCCATTCAAATGTGTAAAGCTACTCTCTGCTGTGTCTGCTATGTATTCCAGGCCAGTTACTAACTTACAAAAATGGCCACATGTTTGCTGTAATCTTTAAGAGAAAAAATATAATCACTAAAGTTTGGTAAAATTGGCAGAATTTCCCATTGGTGTGAATTGGGGGGGCTTGAGTCTCTGTTGTCCACTCTGAACCAAACAGAGTGTGCTTTTGAGAATGATTGATAATTTATGTTGAGCATGGAAGTAAGAGACATAACATTGACTTGGAAATCTGGCATTTACTGCAGTTATTTACCTTCTTCCTTATTTTCTTTGCAAAATAATGTGTGGTTAATAAAATAATATATTGAAAAAATGTAAAATATTTGAGCATTTGGCAAACAAAGAAGGGGAAATTTAAAATTTCATTACTGCTCTCATCTGACAGCTCTAATGCGCCTGTGATTCTGAATGCAATTAAAAGAAATAGAACCACTTCAACAATAAGCTCCAGTCTTATCCTTTCCAACATCAACCACTCAGGGCAAGACAGGTTTGCCTGGAATCCCAGGGCAGAAAGGCAGTGAAGGCCCGAGGGGACGAGATGGAAGTCCTGGACTTGATGGTTTCCGTGGACTAGAGGTGGGTCACTCTAAGCAGTTCCAGTAGTGTGTCAATTCACTGCAGCATTATAATTATTGAAGAAATACTTCTGAAGGTACAAGTTTCTTCATTCTTGTCTCAAACTTTTTTTACAGGGTTCAAAAGGTGAAAGAGGGAACAAAGGCGACAAAGTAAATGATACTTCATGCTTTGTAAAAAAAAATGGGTTTGGAAGCATTTTGTTTATCCTGGTGTCTGATGTGTATATATGTTTTTAGGGTGAACCAGGACAACCTGGGGGTCCACCAGGGCCTCCAGGACCTCCTGGCCCTCCAGGATCAGTGGTATGTGTTTCAAGCACTGTAAGTCTAGACAGTGTCATTGATCACAGAAGTCACTCCCATACATGTTAAACTAACCCATACTTTAAAGGGCCCATATTGTGAAACAAAGTTAGTATGTAAACATTCATAAAGTGTGCACTTCACTCCTCAGTCCATATAGTCCATATATGGATGCCTAGCTGCAAAAACAGCCCATTTTGAATTCATTGTCTTTGTGATGAAATGACAACCAGTGCCTATTTAGCCTGCAGCAGTGAGCATGAGTTGGACTGAACATACTTTGTTTGGATTCAACTTAAGACTAACTTAAATATCAGGTAGCATGAATCCAACTTCATTCTATGAACAGGGCCACCCACCCACCCTAATTATACTGTTTTGTATTGAAAAAATTAAAAAAAGAATAATTCATTTTGATCAAAAAGTTTAGTAAATGCTAAAGTAAAGACAATAAATCAACAAATAAGTATACAAGAGATATACAGTATATATTAATTTGTATCTAGAAAAATAAATAAGATAGAAATATAAAATAAACAAATAAATACCACATGCTGGTGGCTACATTATGTTATACAATAGATTAAATTGTATGCGAAAATAAAATAAATAAACAAAATCATGCATAAAATAAATAATAAATATGACATGCTCGCAACTTAGCAATAATCTGTTTTCTCTACAGTGACTTTACCGCATTTATATTATACTAAAGTGTTTAAAGACTTAAGGTCTCACTGGCCAAAAAGAATAGGTAAAAATAATCATTTGTGCCCTCTGCTGTGACCATTCTGAAAAAGGACATAATAAGTAACTCCCCCACATAGTCTACGTGTATTGCTGCTCTGTTTTAAGTATCTATGTATCTTTATGTGCCAGATTGCCAAAGACAAATTTTTATTTAATGCAAATTTAATGGACAATAAATTGTTCTTATCTTTAGACCAGATGTGTTGTATTAACATGTTTTTCATCTATTGCACAACAATTATTTTATTTTTACTTTTGTAGGGTCCAATGGGACCTAAAGGTGATACGGGGCCAACAGGGCTACCAGGAACATCCATTAAGGTATGCTTTTCATCTCATGCACAAAAGCATAGAGAATAATCATGATTTACTATGAGAATTGTGTTATAATTACTTTCTCATCTCTTTCAAGGGTGAGCTAGGACTTCCAGGGCCAGTGGGACCACCAGTGAGTTTTGTCTTTGTCTTTAAGACAACTTAACAAGGAAAATATATAGTGTGTAGTATATACATAGTTATATACATAGATTTATATAGCAAATATTGGCTGTAAAAAGTCCAGCTCAGAGTGATGGTTTGGCCAAAAATCAAATTTATGTAATTCCCCCCTTATTCCTTTATTCTAGATGTTGTTGTTCAGCAAAGACAGTTCTTTCCTCTGTACCCTTCCCATTTGAGCCCTTGGCCATGTGCTTGTTTGTTTTGGGTTTTCATCTCTACCCCTTGTCTCCGCCCCTCTTGGTTGCTTCCAGTCTAGTTTTCGAGCCAGGTGTCTGTGTTTTGGTTCCTTGGCTCCTCCCTGCTCTACCCTCTTGTTATGCTCCTCACCTAATGTCTGTTTGTTTCTCCTCCCACTCATCATTTGCTCCAGCCTTGGCTTGATCCTGTTTGGTATTTGTACGGCTGTGTTTCAGTCTTGTCCTTGTCATGCATTGTGTTTGCTACCTTTTTGTCTTTTGAGGTTTCCACTTATTTTTCCTTGCTCCTGGATTCTTCATATCAGTTCCTGCTCCAGGTCTACAGTTTCCTGGTTTGTTGTCTAGTTTCTAGTCTTAGTAATTTTTGTTTTCTTTGGTTTATTTTCTTGCTGTTTTTCCAAAATAGACAGTAAATAATACATTGCTTGCAACTGCCACTCCATTTGTTAACACTGTCAGACTGGACTTGATAGCAAATAGGTTCCATGTCTCCACCATTACAGAGGCTGTTTTACAGTGCTCAAAAGTAATCTTGGGACACACCTCTAGCATTTTTTTTAGAATGATTTAATTTGTTAATGTACTACGAAGACTTTACTCAAAAGAGCATAATTTCAGGTATATTATACCTTATCAATCAATACTATGGGTACAACTGAACAATAGCAAACTAGAAAACCTTCACCCAACCCTCCCATTTTACCTAAAAAAAAATGGTGGGACACACATCATGTCAACGTTAATTTCTATAACATTATGAAAGATTTTGCTTTAGAGAACTTGAATTATTGAGTTGAATTAATTTATGAAAAAAATGTTTCTTGGTAACAAAAATCTGTGAGAACAATTGAAAATTGCAAATCCAAATTAAATGTTAAATGAAATACGAGAAGTGTACGTAAAAAAAACAGGAAGAGTTCAAAACCTGCCAAAGAGAAAATCTAACAAGCATGACTGAGCATCAGTTGTGCAAACTTCTGCACTCCGTGCCTCGAAGACTTCAAGCTGTCATCCAGAACATGATATATACTAACCTAAATAAAATACTAAAATACCTAAATAAAATACTAAAAAATGAATAATAATCGATTAATTACCTGGATCATTTTAAGTTATTTTTCTGATGGATAGGAATGAATAAATGATAACTGTAGCTTGGAAAGTAACAAATAAACATGACATAAATTGTATTCAGAGTATCCCAAAACTGCTTTTGAGCACTGTATTGCTTATGAAATACTGTTATCTAAAAATAAAAACAGTACAAAATTCAGGTTTCAAAATGACTGCTACTACTGTTCATAGCTATGCAACATGCCTTTGTATAATTTTTTATTTTTAAATACAGTGTGTCATACTAGCTTGAGGCAAGAGTGTGATGTTTAGCCAATGCAATCTGCACAGTGGAACACTGGTGGCTATAAGCATCCATTACTTGTTAGCAAGATTAGCATTGGAATTCCGGTGCAAAATTACATAAGCAAACTTCAGACACAAAACATATCCTTGGCTAATGAACTACACTTGGGGTCAGGATAGTGTGTATAGTGTTGTTGTTTAATTTTATTTCCACGACATACAACACCATTATGTATTTACTCTTTTTCTTTAGGGTCCACAAGGGCCTCCGGGGCCCAAAGGAGAAATAGGACTCCCAGGAAGGCCAGTGAGTACTTCAGCACATAAAGCCTGAAATGTTTTTCGGAATACATATTAGGGTACTATGATTGCTATGTTGTAAAGTTGTTTTTCTTTCTTTTTTCAAATGATCACTAATGGCTTTTCTACTGTTGTTGATTCCAGGGTCGTGCGGGTGTGAATGGGAGGAAAGGGGAAAAGGGAGATTCAGGAGGTTTTGGGCCAGGTGGATATGGATATGGTTATCCGGTAAGGGATGAGTACCTACAGTATGACTTCAGGCTAACATTCTAAATTAAACTGGTTTAGATCTGATATGTTTTTATGGATTCTTTTCAGGGACCTCCTGGACCGCCAGGCCCCCCTGGACCTCCTGGACCTATAGCATCTGTAGATAGGGTAAGTATGACATACATAGGGACATTTTCAAATGACTGCCTTTGCATGTGGAATTGGCCATAAATGCTATAGAAGCTTTAATAAGCTGCATGTTTTGGCTACACATTGATAATGTGTTGGCAATATTTACACAAGGAGGATAACTGAACATTTGCTGCTGCTGTTATAAGATAACTCATGTCTTTTTAGGGCAGCTCCAGCTTTTACTATGGTGAGTCTGACTGTCTTATTTATTATCACATAATGTGTATTAAAACAAAATGCTACTTTAGGCATGATGCAAAGCTGCAACATAATACAATATGACAACATATGATAATATTCAATAGATAATTGAATTTCAACAAACAGTTCTTCTGCCAAGCAATGTAATTTGTTAATACAGTTGCCAAGCAACTTAACACTCAAAGATTATTCCATTTACAACACAATATATTTGAATCATTTGCCAAATTAATGTAAAATTCACTTGATATGTGTAGTTATGTGTACATCAGGTGCTTTACAACTATGAACAGTACAAAAACACTTAATTTCTGCAACATGTTCCAAAAAATCTGGGACAGAAGCATGTTTATCATATTATCACTTTCCTTTTAACACTTGATAATCTTCTTTAACTGTAACCACAAAAGCAGAAATCTTTGCCAGTCTTAAGCTGGACAACAGTACAGGGCCTGCATTGTCGTATCTTCTGCTTTATAATGTGCCATATATGTTTAGTGGGAGTCTGGACTGCACATAAACCCGTCTAACACCTCCGATCATTAAACAGCCATGCTGTCGTATCATGTGTGGAATGCGGCTTGGCGTTGTAATGTTGAAATAAGCATCAAAAAAACATCCTTGTCTAGAAGACAGCATATGTTGCTTCAAAATGTGTATCATTCATCATTAATAGTGCCTTCACAGATGTGCTAATATATCCCCCATACAATGACAGAAAATGATCATTACGTTTCCACGTTTCCACTCTGCACGTCCATTTCAGAAGAAATGTAGGTGGCATTTCTGAACATTAACAAATGGTGTTTATTGACAACGCTTTGTCAAAGTATTACAGAGTCCCTGTAATGATATTCATCACAAAAGCATGTCAGTTTTTATTTCACTTTTTTTGAAGAAGAGCTCAATTTTGTCTGCCTCAGCCAAAAGGGGGGTAAATTAAGAGGCATCAGTTCACATTAAGAGACTATACCCACAATCCAAATGAATGTAGAGAATGTAGGTATTAAAGGCACTAATGAAAGGAACCTGCCAACATGGTAATAGCTGTATTTTCAAGCACTATGCATAGGAAGCAGCACAAGTGCAGATGAGACTCACTGCCGTAACATTCACACAGCTCTTTACCAACCTTTACCAATTTTAAACAGGATGCTATACAATCACTACGACTAGCTAGTGTGCCAGAAGGCTAAACAGCTGCCCTGAGGGGTGGCTGGGAACTTTAGCTGGTACTAGCCAGATCAAGCTGTCTTGCAAAGCAAACAATTTTTATATTTCTCAAATGCACTTAAGTGCATATTACTAATTGCATTTCATTTTCACAAAAGAAATGAAAAGGGGATTGATGTTCTGCTAACCATTTCAGCAACACACTGTTCATCAGCTTTTTAGCACTGAGTGCTGTGTGTGTCTCTACCCGAACCAATTTCATCCTGATTTTTTGTGGTGTGATCTATGACATAATTAGAAGAATATAATTGACAACATAATACAAAATGACTGTAATTTCATATTAGAAAAATAATAGTAATAAATAAAATAAAAAAAAAATACAGATATCACAAATCTGTTGGGGTATATGCATCCTCAGACCGCAGCTTTAAATATCTTTGCACTATTTTCGTTTAAATACAGATCAAATTAGATTTATTAATCACTGCTCTGTTTTTATTTGCATTTCTCATACTTTCTCAAATTTTCAGCTTTTTGGGAATTTTAGTTTTGTAGTTCAAACGTGCATGAGCCAATCAGATTTTAGAACCAGAACTATTTGTTTTATAGGTGAATACGTTTAACACTAATTCTTCCTCCTTGCAGCCAAAGGAGAAAAGGGAGAACGAGGATCCCCAGGCATTCCTGGTTTGCCAGGTACTGATTTCTAAATTAGACAGTAACTACAAAAAATACTAAAATTGGTGGCCAACCAAGTGAGTTGTCCATTAACAGTAATATTATTTTAGTGGTAACTGGGTAACCAATATGCTTTCAGTCAAAATCCAAATCAGTGAGTATTTTCTGCGAGTTATATTTTATTTTTAATTAATTAATTTGTTTGTCACAGGTCTCACTGGCAACTTTGATATTTATGCACTGAAGGTAAGTGAATCCCTACCTCACTAAGTGTCATATATATATATACTGCTGGATAATGCTAACACATTTGTCACTGTAGAATGAACTAAGGGGTGAACAAGGCACTAAGGGAGAGAAGGGAGAACCAGGAGGTGGCTACTCCGATCCTCGCTATAGTGGAGGACAGGGTCAAACTGGAAGGCCAGGACCTCCGGTAAGAGCTCATTTACTGAGTAGCCAGTTTATTAGGTAGCTCCTGACCCTCACATGCCGTGCCAGTTCTACCCAATAACAGCCAATTACATGAAGCATGAGAGTCACCAAAGAAGGAAAAATCATACTACTGAATATGTAGACATTAGCCAAGTATAAATTTGTATAGTTTAGATAGCTTGTGGTAGTCATTGTTTTTATTTAGCCTCTAATTTTACAATACATCAGCTAAAAAAATCCTGCTTAGGGCCCCCGAAAAGTTAGAGCTGACCCTGTTCACACAAACTCTCCATTCCAACAAGTCAAATGTCAAGTGACTGCTGTAATTAGTGCAAATCAGGCAGACTAGCGTGTCTAGCATCAGTTAGTGTTAAAATGACCAGGGAAATGAGCAGAAGAGTGAGCTTCATTACTTTCAGTGAGGCATCATTGTTAATTTATTCTTTTAATTTTGTTTAACCTTTGTTTATGGTAGTCACATTGTTTTGGGTTGATTACTGTGGTCTGATCTCTAAACCCACACATGCAAACAAAAATAACACGCAACTGTAAATGTCACATCCAGATCTGTAGTAATTTTGTAGGTAAATTAGTGGCCCCCTCCTTAAATGGTACAGTCCTGCCTTGTCTATTGTAGAGTGAGTACAAATTAGCCAAGGGGTTCCCAATCTCAGGCCTGTTGACCCCACACTATGTACACTTTTTGCACCTGATTCAACTAGTGACTCATTAATCATTGGTCTGGCTCAGGTGTGTAGAGCAGTGAAAATGCAAAAATGTACAGTGCATCCATGAGTCAAGGCAAAAAGCGGTGGCATAGAGGAGACGAGAAAATACTAGATTTTAGAAAAAAAGTTAATTTGATCACAGTGGTTAAATAGCCAAACTAATCTACTTTCCCTAGGTCAGAGGGTTCGCAGGCCTGATCACCCCACACTGTGTACATTTTTGTCACATCTGTCATACCTAATTTAACTCATTAGCTAATGAACAAGCTTCTGGTGGGCTAAGTGAAGTGTGAAAACACAAAAATGTGCAGATTATGGGGTCATCGAGAAAAAAGTTGTCTGGCAGAATGGGTCTATATTCCGTTTGCATCATGTTGATGGAAAGATCAGAAATAAGTGAAAGCAGCCTAAGTCAACAGTAGAGTCCAGGGAAGAGGTGTGGAATTTTTTGGAACATATTAGGACCCCAGACACCAATTGAAGAACATCTGAATGGCATGGTGTATGTAAACATTGTTGCTGACCAAGATCGTCCTTTCATGGCTACAGTTCATCCACTCTTGAATGGACCCTTCCAGTATGATAATCCTCAGATGACTTGTATCACGAGGCACATATGATCACCAAATGGTCCCAGGAACAAGACATCAACTTATTATTGCTTCTGTAGCAGGATGAGGTGGAAAGGGCTGTTCATTGTAAGACTATGCAGCCATCCAATTTGGAGGAACTGCACAACGTATAGCACAACATTTCTGCACAATGCAACTTGTATCTTGTAGAATCCATGCTCATGTTCATGCTGTTATAGAGGCCAATAAAGGAGAAACATGCTACTAGGTATGTGCACTTAATAAACTGGCTTTTCAGTGTATATGAAACCGTGAAACAAGTGGTAGAGTGTTCCACGCTGATTTCCTCTTGACAGGCATATACTCAGTCAATTTATCTGCTGTGCTAAATAGGGCCCAAGAGGAGAATCTGTTGTTGGACCTCCAGGGCCTCCAGGACTTCCAGGAATTGGCTATCCTGGTCGACCAGGAAATCCAGGTGCACCAGGACTGCCAGGACCACCAGGACCACCAGGATCAGCAGGACCAGCATTAGCAGGGGCATACAGACCCTTACAAAGTAAGAAGCACCAAAACATTGCCAGTAGTTTGAATTCTTACATCCTGCCACCTATGCCCACCATATCTGTATTTAGAATATGTCATATGTTATACTAACACTTAATTACTATTTAGCCATCAATATTCCTGGACCACCTGGACCTCCTGGTCCCCCTGGAATTCCTGGACAATCATCTGGGGTAAGCTTAATCTCTCTTTACCACCGGTATTTCCCTGGATTGAATTTATATTATCTTCTCCTATCAGTTTTTTATACTTTAAATTTGTCACTTCAGGTGATGGTTATGAGATCTTTTGACACAATGGCTGCCATGACTCGACAGCATCCAGAAGGCACATTGGTGTACGTCATAGACAACACAGACTTCTATATCAGAGTGCGGGACGGTGTCCGGAAAATCATGGTAGAACATGAAAAGATAAGCCTATGCCTATGCCTATGAGATTAGCCAACTACAGCTGTTTTACTGTCAACATGCACATATCATGGCTAACTCTGTTTATATTGATTTATTTTAGCTGGGAGAATATACACCATTTCCAAAACATTTGGTAAGTTTAACACAAATATTTGAATCGTTTAATTCTTGCAACTTTTGACCTGGAATATCAAGGCTAGGGTGACCAGACATGTCTACTAGGACACTCCCATATTCCAGCATCATTCAAAGTGCCCTGGCTTTTTCTCAAAAACTGTTTATCTGTCCCATATTTTAGATGATTTTTTAAATTACTGGACCATTGCACAAAATATGCACAAATGCAAACACAGAGAGTATAGATGTCAACACCAAACATATCAACTCTTTGTAATGTGTGTAATTGGAGGTCACTGGTGAGACCAAATCTAGCCAGTTGTATGCCCTGACAGGACCACGAAAGAAATTTCTGCATAATTTAATTGAGATGTAAATAAAGTAATTGAGAGTGCTTTAATGTGAAATTGGTTGGTCATTGTAGAGAAACTTACTGATTCAGATTTCTTTACAGTGGTAGTTATAGGCACCAAGAGTCACAATGTCTGCAATCCAAATGTAACCATATATTTACTATCAAAATATACTTACTATCTAAAACAACCAGTAAACTTACATGTGAGTTCTGAGTTTTTATATCTAATGCTGATGATGGTAAAATAGAGATAAATCTGGAAAAAAGTTTTTCTGTGTGGCTTCACAGTGCACTGCATGTACATCTCTGCTGTAAGTGGGGTTAAAATATGTATTTTAGGCCAAAACTTTATCTCAAAACTATCACAAAGCAATAGAAACAAAGAAATGTGTATGATTTACAAAACCAGAAGCAAACTAGATTTCCTTCCTACTAGATAGCCTTCATAGGTGAGAAAGCAAGTCAATAGTTTTAAAAGTGTCTTTTTATTGTGTTTAAATGCTATTTTTCATTGTGGTAGTTGTACACAGTTTTTTAAATCAAGGATGTTGCAGTTGTGCTGTATGTTTTATCCCAGCATGGGCCCATTGTTGGAGAGTAGTGGATTGGTTTCACAGCAGCTGGTTCTCATCTTTTTTATCCCTTATTGCCCGAAAGTAGCTTAACACAGAGACACATTTCACACAGCAGTGTCCCAGTTTATCTTATAGAAGAGTTAGAGGGAAAAAATTATTTTACTCGATTATATTAATTAGTAATATCAGAGATTTTTATTTTCGTGGTCCTGCATAAAAGCTACATGCTTTCTATTAGTAGTTGACATGTCAAGGCAGTGCCCTTGCTACTGCAGTCATTATATGACCATGTTTAAAATAATGTATTGTTTTCTTTTAGGTGAAAGAAATATGTCAGATGTGTACTGGATGGTGGGACATCTGGTCACTTTAATATACATTTTTCTGCAGCACAACGTGGCCAAATTCATAAGCATATCTCTCGTTCTCTTTATCCATCTGTAGGACAGTGATGTAGCAGCAGTGGAGCCCCCTCCTGTGGTGCTGTACTCTCCAGAGTCTCGTGTGATGGACCCTTCCCCCAGAGTTCCCACACTGTCTGAAGTATCTAAGACAGCACAGCCTGATACTGAACGCCAACCTCCGTATGACCCACGCTACACTACTGTCCCTAAATACTCACCACCAACTGCTCCACGATACTCAGACCCCCGATATTTGGACCCACGATACTTAGGTCCATGGTACTCTGCTCCAACTGACACGCATTATCAACCTGAACTGGACGCCAGACACCATCCCCACCAGCCTGACAGCAGATACCCACATCACTCAGGGTCTGAGTACCATGTTACATCAGTGCGCAGGCCCAGCCCATCAGAACCCCACCGTCCTGCCCACGCACACACCTCTGGTCCTGCGGTCAGCACCTTGAACTACTTTAAGATGGAACAGCTTTCTCTTTACAAGTCAGACATGCTCAAACATTAGAAAATGTTCATGCACCAGAACTACATGATGTCTGGGCAAGTAAATGCCTTTTAATATTTCACATTATGAGATCTAAGAAGACGTGTACTCATTTTAAGTAATATTATCAAGTGAAATTATCTTACTACACTGTCAGATAATTTTGTTTTAAGGGGGCCATAACCTGTAAATTATAGGTCCACTGATGATATTTCTGTGTTTATGTACCAAAATCAGCCAAATTCTATCTACACATGACCAATTTCCAACCTCTTTATATCACTTAGAATTGAGCAGTCTGTTTTGTTTCTGTCCTTTAAAAAAACAGAATATTTTTCCATGTTAGTTTACATTTGTGGACTGTATGGACTGGGGAGTGAACTGTATGTTTGAAACTTTTAACAATGTTTAAATACATCATTAGGTTTTTATTTCAGAAAAAAGAGGAAAAAATTCTTTAATAAAATGCTTGAAAGAAGGAAAATTATCTACTAATACAGTGAGATGCTTTCGCTTGATAAAATGATTTACTGTATATGAAGGTTAAATAATTTTGAGGTATTTTAACGGTCTCATAATGAGAGATATTACGTATATTGCGTACAATTAAGATGCTTTATCTTGCTAAGATTTTTGCAATTTTTGCAATGTGGAAAGAAAATGAACTACAAAAAAGACAGATCTCCAATATGTGTGTATATAAATACACCTCCTTGTTTCTACACTCATTTTCCATTTTATCAGTTCCACTTACCATGTAGTTACAGTTCTACAATTGCAGAATATAGTATAATCTGTTTCTCTGCATACTTTATCCCCTTTTACCCTGTTCTTCAATGTTCAGGACCCCCACAAGACCACCACAGAGCAGGTATTATTTGGGTGATGAAACATTCTTAGCACTGCAGTGACACTGATGTGGTTGTAGTGTGTTAATGTGTGTTGGGCTGGTTCGACTGGAGTTTTTAAACCCTGTGTTTTAACACTCAGTTTAAACACTGTGGGGGTCCTGACCTTTGAAGAACAGAGTGAAAGTGGGCCTAAAATGTATGCATAGAAATAGATGAACTACAGTCTATAATGTAGAACTAAAAGGAAGTGTACTTATGAGGTGGTTAATCGTTGCTCATGTTTTATTTATGACCTGTGATGTTTTTTTTTTTGTAGTTGCACCTAATTGCCCTCAACTTACCTAAAGAGGGTGACATTCAGGGTATTAAAGGAGCAGACCATCAGTGTTTCCTCCAGGCTCAAGCTATTGGACTCAAAGGTACATTCAGAGCCTTCCTTTCATCACGACTCCAGGACCTATACAGTATAGTGCGCAGAGGTGACCGGGATCAGATTCCTATTGTTAACCTAAAAGTAAGTGGAATTTTTCACAATGACTATCACCTAAAGTACAAATCTTTTACTAAGCCTACATTTACAGTAAAAGCCTTTTTGCTCAGTTCCATTTATTTACACAGATCCAATCTTTCTGCTTTGATGTTTCACTTTTGTATCTGTCCGTAGTGTAAACTAACTTAAAACTGTGTGTGCCCTGAAACCTGCATGTGTTCATCCAAATCAGCAATGATATATACATGATACAAACGCATCATGATGAACAATAACAACAAATTAACTTTAAAGGACAATTTCACAGATTTTTCAAAATTTCTGCATTATTTTGTTGAGATGTGAACAAAGTCATCCAGGGCGGTTTGATGTGAAATGCTCCATTCTAGAGAAAAGTACACACTCAGAATTTTGTTTACTATCCAAAACCACCAGTGAACCTTCAGGCATCTTCTAAATTTTTAATGTGTTAAGCTGATCATTGTAAAATAGAGGTACATCTGAAAAAAAAAAAATAATAATAATAATTTCTTTGGGTACTATTTTGCCTACATCACCCTCTGTGTACCCTTCTGCCATGAATGGATTAAACAATACATACTTTTTAGGCCAAAACATTTTCAAAGCTTGTGTATACAATGTCTCAGGCATCAGGCAATATGTTTGTATCCATTTTTAGCAATAACGTTCTGTGAGGGAGCTTTTAAATGCATTAAACTCTTCAGACGTCTGGTTCCTATCATCCCCACTGTGAACAATTCAGACTTTTGAATTCCCCTTTATGTTAGCTGCTGCTGCCACCCTACCAACACTGGATGATAACAGTAATATGTAGTGCCTGAATAACATATCAGTTGGCTTATACTAGCAGATTATATTGATGGTCTGTTTTTTATCAGTGCTGGAAAATTATTGCTAATTATTAAAAAACTTTTAGGGTCATGAAATTGGTGAAATGCAAACTTGGAACTAATTATGAGACATTACCTAATTAGTTATATGACAACACTACAGGTTGAACGGATAAATCTAAACACCATCATTGTTATAATAGTAAACATGAAAAAGTATCCAAACATGCTTTTTTAGCACGAGAATAACACAAAACAAAATAACTATTTTACGAAGAGAACCTCCACAACATTGATTTTATTTAAAACTGTGTTTCTGCTGTTTATTTGACTTCAATACATGTGACAGTAGAGAATGGACAGTCATATTTGTCAACCATTGTTTAAAACTATTGGAGTATAAAAGTGAAATAGAAATATAACATTATATTGGCTGATATTACCTGAATTTTTATCCCTTTAAAATGTGTATTGACGACAAAATTTTAGGCCATAGTAATATATGCATGTGCAGTGGGAAAAAAGTGCTGCCAAATCAGTAACGTTTCTGTCAATGTTTCCATCAGGATGAGGAGTTATTCAGCAGCTGGGAGTCTATCTTCCGTGATGAGGGGAAAATGAGAGAAAACCTACGCATCTACTCATTTGATGGCAGAGATGTCCTCGATGACGATGCATGGTAAATTGAAATCTTCAGTCTCTCATTTCTTAGTTTAAACCAAATTCCAAAAAAGACAAAACAGTAGGCAAAATGTAAATAAAAAGAGTGTTTTAACTAATTAACTCTCTTGGAACAGGGCATGTTTGCCACAGTGTTACATCAACAGTGTTCAGTAATCCTTTCTGAACTGAGGACATCAATTGTTTGTGTGGTTTTGAAAGTGGACTTTTTTCCATTCTTGTATGAAATTTTTTTTGATTGCCATGTTCTGATACTGGTGAACCTCAGGGCTGTGTTTTGTCCCCTTTGTTGTTCTCTAAATATACACGAGGTAACAGCAGTGATCCTACTCTTATTAAGTAAGTAGATGATATGGCCCTTATTTCCTGCCAGCATGAGGCCCATTGTTCTTAAACTGTTGGACTATTTGCGCACGCAGTTTTTCACAAAGTGGTGACTGAGCCCTTTGTAAATGTTCCTTTTATACCCCATCATAATAGAATCACCCATTATCTATTCACCTGTTCACTCCTTGGAAGTTCCAAACCAGGTGTATTTGATCATTCCAACTTCACACTCTTACATTTCCCCTGTCCCAGCTTGTTTGGAATGTGCTACAGGCATCAGGTTTGGAAATAGAATATATTTACAAAAATTAATAAAGTTGATAAGGTAAAATAATAAATATCTTTGTGCTGTTTTCCACTAAATAATTGTAAAAGACAGTTTACAAATCACTGTTTTCAGTTTTTCTTTGCATTTTACTTAGTGTTCCAACTTTTCTGGAACTGGGTTTTACAGTTGTCATTTCGTGCTCTGTACAAGGACTGATTTTCTTATGTTTTCTCTCCCAGGCCAGAAAAGATGGTGTGGCATGGTTCGAGCACTGCAGGACACCGGCAGACAGACAGCTACTGTGAAACATGGCGTACCAACAACCACGCAGTTACAGGCTTGGCCTCCTCCCTCCAGGATGGCCTCCTCCTGCAGCAGACGCCACGCAGCTGCTCCAGATCCTCTATTGTGCTGTGTATTGAAAACAGCTACATTGCCAATTGAGGCCATGTTTGTATTAGATCAGCTTTTACAGCTGCCTCAGAAGAAAAATGGGGGGGGGAATAAATAGTCACTCTAGAACACATCCAAACAGTGTTGAAAGGCAAGGTATTCTGATGTACACCACTTTTGATTAAAAAAATTGGAACAGTGAAATTAAAACGATTTGTAATGTGTACTCAAACACTTTGGATTAAAGATGAAATATGAATATGCAGAATAATTTTTTTTATCTGGATATTTCTGCGAATGTGTCAAATGGTTCAGAATAGAAGCACAATATGTGATTCACAGTCCCATTTACTTTTACCTCATATTCTAAAATGCCTGAGTATACGGTAAAACAGAAAAAAAGTCTTTAACCTCAGTGCCTCAATACTTATGTAGGGTAAATCCACCTCAAATCACCACATTGCAGAAAAAGTTCCCAACTTACAATTTCAGATCTGCTTAATACTTTCAGGAAATAATGTCATTGTGCTTAATATACAGATAGAATTTTAGGCATGTATGGTCATTCTTTCTGACATATAAGCTTTAAAAGTGGCATGGCCTTCTTTTTTTCCTTTAAGTGGAAATCAAATAAATTTTTTCGAAATGTCTGCAGCTGAACAAAAAAGCTGTTAAATTCCCTTTTAAAATGAGTGCTGCCAAAAATGATATACACCAATCAGGCATAACATTATGACCACCTCCTTGTTTCTACGCTCATTGTCCATTTTATCAGCTCCACTTACTATATAGGTGCACTTTGTAGTTCTACAATTACAGACTGTAGTCCATTTGTTTCTCTGCATACTTTGTTAGCCCCCCATTACCCTGTTCTTCAGTGGTCAGGACCCCCATGCACTGCAGTAACGCTGATGTGGTGGTGGTGGTGGTGTGTTAGTGTGTGCTGCACTGGTACGAGTGGATCAGACACAGCACGTCAGTGTTACTACAATGCTGAGAATGATCCACCACCCAAATAGTACCTGCTCTGTGAGGGTCCATGACCACTGAAGAACAGGGTAAAAGGGGGCTAACAAAGTATGCAGAGAAACAGATGGACTACAGTCTGTAAATGTAGAACTACAAAGTGCACCTATATAGTAAGTGGAGCTGATAAAATGGACAATGAGCGTAGAAACAAGGAGGTGGTCATAATGTTATGCCAGATCGGTGTAAATGCTCAGTAGACAGTAGGTAGAGCATTTAAAAGTAAAATGTTTTTTTTTATGATGGAATTTTTGAAGTGCCTTCACAAATCAAAACCAAAGACTCAAGGCCACCGAAGGTCAGTAGTTTTACTCAATATTTAGCTCATTGCAAGTTCACCAGAGAATGGTCTCTACCTACCTACCCAAGTGTGAAATAGGTTCCATGTTACTTAACGCTTTTTTGTATTTGCATTGAAATTCTTTTGAACATAGCCATGTAACATTTCTACACTTTTATATGTTACTACTCAAATAATGCTTTTTTGTTTTATATTTATTTTGTACATGAGCTTAACATTGGCACTCAAAACAGACTAAAGTTCACTGGTCATCTGTTTTTCTCTTTTAGTCTGCTGTACTACAGTGTCTTCTTTTAATGGATCATCTGACCACTACAGACCTGAGAGCCATTTGTATATCATGTGTACTGTAATTTCAATGACACAGTAATAAACAATCATGATCTCTAAAACATGTAATTTTTTATTTATTGTACTCAAACAACATGCAATAATTACCCTTGTTATATGAATTTGTCAGCACATTAAGTATATTTCTTGACTGCTCATCAAACAGTCTTATTCAATCTGACTACTGCTTCACAAGTGCTACAGCCTCCTGAGAGCCTGTTTCTTGTTCTAAGAATCATTCATTACAAATTTAGGGCTGCGCAATATATCGTTTGTTAATCGTTATCGCTGTTCTGGCTTTTGCAATATTGATACTGCAAGACAATGTAATATACAAATGAGCAGCTTAATCAATCACAATGTTTTCAATTGTTTGCTGAGAGTATCTTGACCAGGTGAGTTTAGATGAATCTAGGTATTAATTTACTCCAAAAATAATCAAAATAATGCAGGCTATACTGAAAAGTGTAACACAATCCTGATATGTAGCACTACAATTGTAAGACTAGTATTTTGTCATTACTGTGCAGCCCCATCACAAAACATTAGAAATTTACATCTACAAAATGCGATTTTCAGTGTATGATTTTACAGCAACAGTTGTTCACAGTTTATAAACTGTACCTGTATATATTTACTGATTTAAAATATAGATTAAAAAAAAAAAACAAACACAATCGCATGTGGTACATGTAACCAACATGTACTGGATAATCTAACACTGTGTAAAAAACAAAACAAACAAACAAAAAAAAAAAAAACAACAAAAAAGTGAAGGAATTATGAAGTCTCAGTTGTATTTACAGGCCATTCTTCTCCTGAAGCCCGTCTCACAAAGCATGTTTGACACAAAGCATGTGTTCCTGACTAAGATTCAGCAGCCCAAATGTTAACTCAATTTAACCCATCAGATAACAGCTTTCTCTGTTAAGCCAGGTTTAGATACACAAGCTAGACTGATGCACGTGGAAGTGTGACGTTTATGACAATTACGTGAAACAAGAGGAGTTGAGTGGCTTATTTTCCAAATACTACATAAATACGCAGAAAGTAAAACATGTTTAATGTTAAAAACAACGCTCTTGCCACTGCCACTGTGTTGCCACTTACTGCAGTAGTAAAAACTTAATATGCTTGATATCTATGTAGTATAAGTTGATTCCTATGCTAAATAAACAATACTTCTCCTCCCACTGATGTGACAAATGTCTCCAAAAAAAAAAGCGACCTGAAAAAGACCAGAGGGATCCCCCTCCATTAGAAGCCTGGCCTTATTGGTCTAAAAGCTGTTTATCATCCAAAATCTCTTATGCTGCACATTTAACTGCCTCCAGGCCAGGCCTGGTTAAGCTGCCATGGTGATATAGCCTGGTAAAAAGTGATCCACTGTTGTGAAACAGAAAATCCAGAGTTAGATCTAAGCTTAAAGTTAGCTGGCTAAGCAAGAAACCCTGCTTGGTGAGACAGGCCTCAGCTCATTTTACCAAAAATCTATGAAGAACCGTAAATGTTACATCAGTGTTTGTATTTAAAACCTAGAACATACATGACACTAATTGTCATTTTTATAACTAGGACTGCTATGTAGTTATGACCAAATATGGGCATTACTGTTCAAAAATACAACATTTACAACCAAAGGGAAAAACTGTATGAATGATGTAAATCATGTTAGACACTGTTGCTACCCGTTTTGCGGCACCTGCTCGATTTACTTCACACACGTGCACCACTGTGACATATGTGTATGCTGCATTATGTTTTATGACACTGCTCGATCTGTACCCACCATGCCCATCTTTTTATGACATCTTATTAGCGCATTAGCTTAACATATTTCATTTATTTATTAGCAAATCATGAACATTCAGCAACCAGGCATATCACTATAAAGCAGTGTTTAATGCTGAACCCACAATGAGGTTAGAGCACAGTGAGATGAAAGGGGTACAAACAAAACCTGCTGGTACTACCATTCTGGTTTAACATGAGAACATGTGTATGACTGAATCTCAAATGACTAGTTACTCCCTACACAGTGCACTGCAAAGGTCATGAAGTTATAGCTTCTACTCCTAAATAGTGCACTAAATGTTAGATCAAATGTCGATCAGCTTTGACTGAATGTAAATGTCCTTTAATAAGATAGATAAATGTTTGTGTGTAGAAGCTGTTATATAATGACCTCTATAGTGCGCACTACATAGGAAGCACAAACACAGAGCAAAACCTTAAAGCTCTGTGTTTTCACTGACAAAGTATGATAGCTTGCCAACAGAGCACAGAAGACAGCAAAACACACACATAATTACTATTAGGGAATATAATCATTTTGTTACAGCTGAACTACAGCTGTAAAATTCTGACACTTGCGGTACAAATATGATATAGCCGGTAAAAATATCATGCTCTATGCATGCATGCAGTGGTGCGCATGCACAGTGCAAACCAGCCAGGGGATATAGATTCAGTAGCGACACACACCCACATAAAATGTTAGCAATCTCAGCATCAGCCTACCATGGATATAAGATCCAAGTATGTTAGAAGTAGATGCTGAAATACTTGTTCAATTCTGTATGAGTGCTCTGAATATTATAGTATGACTCAGGCAGTGTACAATTATTAACTGTAATTTTTAAGGCAGTGTTACACCAGACTTGATGGACCTACAAAGAGAATCCTGATTACTTAACAAGCTAATTCTCTTGTCTGTCATAAATTTAAAAATATAAGTGAGTTTAAGCTGAATTTCTTACAAAATATCTTGAAATATCTTGAGAAAAATTTAACTTTAATTTGCTAATGAGGAAAAGTCATCCAACTGTACAGGCCTGATAGGTTTTTCCATATTTAAGAGTTGCTCAATACTTCAATTAGTTATGGATTTCTAGGAAGTTCAAAAAACTAGTTCACTTCAGAAAAACTAATACTATAATAGATAAACAAACAGTACACCACTTTGCCTTTGATTAACCTTACATTAAAGTCTTTCTTTTTTCTTATTGTTCATCAGTAACCCCATGTATACTCCAGGGACTGATTAATACATAATCATATTCCATTTTTTACATCATAATCCTTATGAAACTTTCACTTGCAAATGTACCACAAACTAGCTCAAAAGCTTTACAAATAAGTCTTTAAAATTATTTAAACAGTTTCACATTATGAAATGACAAAAATATCACTGGCAGTTACTTAATTGTTTCATAAATGTTTCTAAATACATATCACTGAAGGTACTAACATACATGAATACAATCTGTGCCGTTCTGTAGGAGGTAAGATGTGATGTTACACTCAGGTTAGTATATTTGTTATAAAAGAGATTATTAAAAATGTTAAAAATATCTGCCTTCTAAAAAATGAAAGCAAAGAACCGAAACATCACTTTACTTATCCAATTTTTTTTGTACAACTCATCTCAGCATATTCTTGAATAAAACCCAGAGAATTAAAGTGTGGCTTACAAACAAATTTTTTTTTTTTGCCAAAACTGGTTATTTTTGTCATTTTTCATGTGGGGAATAGAGGATACAACATAAGACTTATGCACAACAGAGAAATGTGCAAGCTTTTTTAAACTGTAAGGCACTTTTGCTTTGTTGTAAAAAGCGCTATACAAATACATTCTGAACTGATGCTGCAGTCTGAGCTGCAGTCTTTTGAAGAGCACACAACACACAGATGACAAGCTCAAACAAGTAATTTCTGTACTGAATTTGAGAGTCATACACTAACTGGCCACTTCATTAAGTACATTTTCTTTTATCTACACTTAATGCACTTAATGTCCTCACAGAAAACTTATAAAAGAAGGACTGACAGGGAGAAATCAAATAATACCAAGTGAGAAAGAGTTCTCACAAATCTCACAATTCTCAGGTCTTGACACTATTTCCATTTGCGAGAGGGTCTGTCTCAGAGGCAGGCATTTCCACAGTACCAAGTTCAACAGGTGTAGTGACTTCTGTTGGCATCTGCTCTTGCCACTTACTGCGGTAATGATGCACGATGACCCAGATGGCACAGCCCAAATACACCACCGTCAGCAGAGTGAAGTAAAAGAAGTATACAAAAAACTGAAAAAGAAATTTTACAGAAGATTAACAAACCTACAATTCACTAAACTTTTAAGTGATTTTTCTAAACTTCTGCATGATGCAGTGGTAGAAATTTAACCAAAGTCATTTAGAGTGGTTGGATGTGTAGTGGCTCATTGGGGAGAAAGTTCATTCATTTATTTTTCCAAAACATCCAGGGAACCTACATGTGTCTTAAAGTTTTTATATGTAATGTTGAAAATGGTAAAACAGTGGTAAATCTGGGGGGAACTATAATGCCTTATAACATCCTGCATGTACCTCTCCACCAAGGATTTAATTAAATACACTTTATAACCATGGTAAAGCAATGTCTCTGGCAAATTGATAATCATTCATAAAATGTTCATTCATATGTAATCATTCATATGGAATAATTTTCTTTGAGGAAGCTTTCAGAGGCATTAAACTCTTCAGATGTCTGGTTCCTGTCACTAAAACTGTGAACAATTCTGACTCACTAAATTTGTCTAGAATGGCATATTTCACAGCAAAAAACTTTGAATGACTTTGTTTACATCTTAACCATTTAATTATGCTTAAACTTTGAAAGATTTGGAGACTATTTTGTTATTTAGAATCTGCACTAAGTTGAAAATTGTTGTTGAAAATTAAATGATATATTTATATAGATCTATTTATGCTATATATAGATAAATTGTTAATTTTGGAATTTAAAATTATAAATGTGATTGAATGAAGAGCTGTTTTGGAGCCGAGAGTCAGTTTTTCTTGGTGAGCTGAGCTCACTGATTTGACTTGCTGAAAAGAGCCGGAATGGCCATCACAAATTATGTAAGTGTGCAGCTGCTTTCCACTGCATTTGAATGTAAAACTTCACAGCACTCCTAAAACTACATAAAACACATTTTCCCCTAGTTCTAACTTCTCAATGCACTTAAATGAAATGCTCCATTCAGTGGCATAAGAAGGCTCCTCTTCAGTGCTCACTCATTTACCACTGAGACAGCCTGAACGAGCTGTACCAACACGTCACGGCTTACTGACATAAGCAACACAACAAAACATTGAATTAACATTTACACTTCATTACATCTCATAATCTCTAGTGCCCAAGCACCTTGCTACTTGTAGTTGTTTCTGACGTTTTCAAGTCGTTTTGCCATTCATGAAGGATTATGTGTGACTGAAGATCTCGAATGATACACCGGTTAAGGCCTTCTCTCAAATGAAGGATGCATTTCTCAGCTGCATTTGAAGGATCGTACAAAACAGAACAACCTTCAGTTACTTAACAGCTAAGAAATGCAGCCTTCCTTGATGGCGTCCTTAACTTTGAGACAGTGCTTGTGAATCCACTGTGCAACGCAAAGTAAAAAAAACTTTTAAGATTAAAATTTACTGCCGTGAGATCGCAGCAAAGACAGAAGATATGAGTCCTACAGTAACCTGCAGTTCTTAACTAAATTGTGAGACTTGACATCTATGCAGGATAGGTATTTAGCAGGTTTGTTAGACTTCTTGCGACAAGCGAGAGATTTACTTTTCAATCCCTGTAAATATATTAACATACAAGGCCAGTGGCACATGCAATCTGCACATCTGTAGTAACACATCATACATCGGCATAATGAAGCAGTAGGCTATGTGGGGCCAAATCTGATTTTGCATGAGTACTTCAAAATTTAAATTCTGTATGAATTTCTAGAAATAAATGGAACAAATGTGAGCATTTTGCTCACACAGTAGAACTCTGTGATGTGCTCAAGCATGTTGTCAAACAAAAATGTGAACTGTCTGGGGTGCCCTGAGGAATGGTTTGGAAAATACTGGTTTAAGCAATGAACAGTATTTTTGCTTTATTACGAAGTGTTAGATTGCGCTTTCCTAAAAAAATGTTTCTTACCTGGGAGTGCACAGGCAGAGCCAAGCCTCTCTTATCTGCCACAATTAGAGTAACAATGGTCTTCAAGATTGTTCCCAAGAAAGTGTTTACTCCAAACACTAGAGCACATAACTCTTTAGTGAGAGAGGAGGCAATCTGAAAACTGAGAGAAAAAGAAGCAAATTAAGCTTTTTGAATTCTATGTATGAAAGTTTGTTTGCTATCATTATCTGGTTAGCCCTTCAGGTGGCTCACCACAAGTTGACCATGTTTTTACAGATGAAGCACAGCATGCTTACTGTTATGTAAAAGGGGACTATTTGTGTCCTAATGCAGCGTTTCCCCAATACCAATCCTGTCAGACCCAATTCTGTGCACAGTTTTTGCACTTTGTCTTATCGAGAACACCTGGCTCAACTCATCAACTAATTAACAAGCATTTTGTTAAGCGTCAGGTGTGTAGAGTGAGAAAATCACAAAAATGTGCAGAAGAAAGGGTCGCCATGACTGTGATTGGGAACCCTTGTCCTAATGTACTAGATACTCGTTCAATCACAGGACAAGGGCAAAATTTGTTACAAACGCAAAAGATGAAGCATCATTTGGAATACTACCGGAGTCACTCACGTAGCAATAGGAACCAGGAATTGGTAGAAGCCTCTGAAGAGTGCATAGGCCACGTAGCACACCCAGATATTGTCAGTGGTGCCCATAAGAAGCAGCAAAGCGGCCTGTGCTGCAGTGATCACGCCAATCACCAGCTCAGACCATACCTTCCATCGGATCTTCACAAAGCCTGCCACAAATGATGTGATTGCACCTGGAGAAGGGGCACTAAAGCATTAGTCATGATCCCATTAAAGGCATAGAGCCAAAATCACAGGCAACTACTCCATTAGATATCAGAACATTTGACAACTGATGGAATGTTGGCAGACACTACAAGAATAACAACAATTTACAAAAGGATTTCACTGAATAGTAGCTAAGCAAAGTCAATACTCAAGAGCTACAGGATTTGAACTGTGTCCATGGAGTTACGATATGAAGTGAACCTGAAGTAAGAGCCTTTGTTACATCATGATCTTTCAGTCCAATCAGCTTCTTTGTCATTTTGACCAGTCAAATGCAGCTGGAAGTTTCGAACACAATCATAAACTTACATTCTTTCCACATGACCTGAGAAGGCCCTACTCGAGGACTCACATTTAAGGTCACTGACATTAGATTAAGTATTAAACACATTTCATCTGATGTTTAAACACTGAGACAAGCATTATCCTTGTCAAATGATTAAACATAAATCACAATTTGCTGCAAAAAACCCATCTGTTTGTTCAAAAATGTCTAATTGATTAAAAGACCTGTGTTAGTAACAGAATTATTATACTGGGATAACGTAGAAAAAAAAAAGTAGCAATGAGCATTTTGGCAAATTCTTTTGACTAAGCATTAGTCTGCGACTAATCCTTAACAAAAACTTAAAATCTAAATTTAAATATGGGTGGGAGCGCAGCCTTATTAGGTTGGGTACAAACTGAGTGTGAAATGTCTAAACCAATCCAGTGACTCGTGAAGGCAGCGCTCGAAGTAGCAAGCGAGGTGGCTTCAGACTATCCATAGAGAAGATAAAAATGGTTAACTATGGGACCCAACCAGTTAATACATGTATGTCTGTGGCAAACATGTCATCACAGGTCAGTTATTGATTTTGATGTCAACAGTTGTCAAGATGTCAAAATGTCAAAAGTATTGAATGTTGATGCTGCATTGAAAGGGCAAAACATAGAGCACAGTGAAGTCTTAATTTAAATGTTATCCTGTAACAACACATTCTGATTCTGAGTTAACTAACAGTAGGCTTGCTAGCACTAGCTGCACCCTGCTGGTTTTTCCCCTGGTTTGTTGATAGGTGCAGAGTAAAACAGGTTCACCTGCCTGTTCCCTGAAGTAATTTTTATGCCATTCAAATTGTGTCTAAATGCTACATTAATGCAATGATGATAAAACTATAGGGAATCGAATCATAAATATGACACCTCATGCCACCTGGTCAGGTCATTCATCCACTTTGATGGAGGCAGACTGAAACTGAGACTCATCAACCCTATTTCTTTTCTGTATTTTTTTTCTATAAAATAACACTGATGGTTAAACGGCAAAGATGTGACATCATTGTTTGCCTGACTGGACATTTTGTGCTATCAAATTGACAAAGACCTTGGAATTTGGTATTTACCACCAGTCAAACAGGAGGGGCTGCTTTTACCCAAAAAGGGATGGGGGCATTATGCAAGTGCAAAGTACCCAGATGTGTTACTCTCATCTATCCAGCACCAAATTTTAAAAGGCTGCCCCTGGTTAAGAGATCACATCTGCCCTGCAAGATGAGAGCAGGACCAAACAAAGTGATAGCACACGAGTTGATGCTTGGCCTTGTTTGATTAAAGAACAAAACAACACACTTCAGTAAATGTTGTTGTTGTAGTTTGTCATTTTTAACCAAGCATGTTTAAAGGTTCAGTTATGTTCACATATGGAAATGCTAGAGGCTTGGTATGATTTGCGTAAATTAAGTAAATATATGAACAATATTTTTACAACAGACAGTGAATTACTTTTTAATCATCACTGTGAGTTGTTGCTATGGTAACTTAGTTAACTGTCACTGGGCACAAGCCTACTGAACACAAAAGAAAAGATCTAACTGAACTGGGGTTGGTCTAATAAAACTTCAGTCTAAAAGTGTGTTCCTTTACCATGGCAAAAAGGTTTTGTACGTTTCGTCCATACACATTTAATCGTCTTTGCTGTCCTGGAACTGCACTGCAAGCAAAGTTCCCATTTGTTGAACTTTGACCCATGCTACGCTGACCTTGTAATGTGCAGCCAATGAATGGAGGCTATACGCTCTTGCTGTAGAATCCTTTGTAGAAAAGGATGTAATATGTATTTCACATTTTTCTTGAATCATAAAATAATGTGTTACAAACATACATTTAGATGTTTGTTTGAAATCCTTTGATAGGTGATTTGCCACTTTGAGCGAGGACCTAATCAAACCTTGCCACTGCAAAGGGCAGCAGGCAACAAGTATTTGCCACGATAGTGTGAACGTACCTTAAGTGTTAAGAAGTGATGGTACTTACGATCACAGAGGAACATTTTAACCGACAGCTTTAAAACACCAGGGACACAGGAACTTTTATGTATAAAGAGAAAAAATGGAGACAGGATTTTATACAACAGCTGCAATTTCTCACTTATTGCAATTACTCACCAAGCAAAGTAGAAGCAGCTTCCACTCCTCCATTATAGACATGCTTTTGTTCTGTGGCAGGGTACACTTTGTTCCATAGTATGTGCACATAGAACACCACCAAGTAATAGCCAGTGGAGTTGAACACCCACCACAGGCTCCAAAGTCTTAGGTTGTGCACCTTCACTACATTTCTCAATTCCTTCAGCATCTGAATGAACACTGAGTTTGTCCAGGAGGCAGTGCAACTACTGTTGCCGGAACTTGGTAAAGCTTTAACTGGCTTGTCATCTGATTTGATTTTGTCCAATTCTGACTGAGCAGCAGTCCTCCTCTCTTCCTCCAGGCGACTCTGGTTAAAGAACAAACTCCTCTTGGGCCATGGCAAGCAGCTGGACAACAAGAGTCCAAAAGAGACAAAGCCTAATGAGATTGCACTCAGAGTGCCATACGTTATGCCACCCAGCGATATGCACAACTGACCCATCACAGAGCTAGTGAACACTCCTAGCAGCACGGAGGAGCGAGAATAGCTGGCAACCTGCTGATACACAGATGCTGGGACCAGAGAGAAGATGTAGGAGGAGTAGGCCACTCTGGCAGCCATTGTAATACCGTAGAAGAACTCCATGAACTGCATCTCCAGTAAGGAGGTGCCCAGCAGCAGTAGGAGCCAGATGGAGACATGGCTCATGCTCTGGAGAACCAAAACAGGTTTGTAGCGTAGATAGTCTGTCAGCAGGAAAACAGGCACCAGCACTGCCATGTAGGAGTAAGAGAGCACGGGGTTGATCTCATTAGTGACCTGGAATAAAAGCAGGTTTAACACAAAGCAGTAAGCAACCATGAAACAAGGGAACTAAATATCATTACTGGGGGAATCAATGAATGAGCGAATGAATGAATGTTCCACCACATCTCACAGTGGAGTGGTCAAAAAAGAAAAATGCAATTATCTCTGCATCTGTTGTAAACACACGTACTCCCCTACAGCAGTACCGCTGAAGTGTCTTGGGCAAGATTTTCCAGTTTAAAGACTAGGGAAACCCTCTTCTGTTGATGTATCTTAAAGGGGGAAGGGGGGGGGGAGACTTCTGAAAAACTACAGGCATTTCAGGGTGGATACTTGAGCGTGTGCAGTTTGAAATGTTTTTTTCATCTATATTTATTCACCTCCACATCAGTGGCCATATTAGCAGTCAGGATTGATTGCATGATATATTTGTAGTGGTACTGTAATGAGAGAACACTGACAGACAAAAAACACAAGGATACAAATTAATGAATTCTGTCAGACAGAATACATTAAAGAAAACAGTTACATAACATTACAAATTATATATTAAATGCTAGTTACAGGCCAGAATGGCACTTTAATTTTTGTTCTATAGAGCACTAAGGCTATATGATATATACAGAATTTTCTATTGCAGTTATACTGATATGTATTGTGACACGTCAAGTGATAAAAACATATTGGTGAATGCTTAATGTTCACGACAGGCTTGCACTATGACCCAATTTATTTGCATTTGTAGATAAGTAAAGCCATTTATCTAATCTTTTAAAACACCTACAGCACACTCCATCAGGAACATCTGAGACTGATCTGATAATGCAAATCATGCAATAAAAATGTAAATTGTGGTCTGCACAAAAATTGCTGCATACTGAAGTTGCAACAATAAGAATACTACAGAGGACAATATTGTGATATGATGAACAATGTATTATGCAACAACAATGCTTAACCTTTTCTTAATCTATCAAACCATTTATTAGCTATCACTGCATTTATTAAATAATCTAAAAGATATTATTATTTGCACTGACGCAAATTATACTTTTTGTGCAACTGAAGCACTGTTCAAGGACACAATTTGCTACATGTAGCCCACTAATGTAACGCGAGAACAGTTAGTCAACTTGAGCATTAGGCATTCTGTTGAGCAATAATAAGAAAGCATACACTATATGGACAAAAGTATTGGGACACATTACACCTACAGGAGCTTTTATGACATCTCCTTTCTAAATCCATAGGCATTAATATGCAGTTGGTCCCCGTTTTGCAGCTCTCTTCCACTCTTCTGGGAAGCTTTCTACAAGGTTTTGAAGTGTGTCTGCAGGAACTTTTGCCCATTCATCCAGAAGAGCATTTGTGAGGTCAGAAACTGATGTTAGACGAGAGGGCCTGGCTTGCAATCTCTGTTCTTGTTCATCCCAAAGGTGTTTGATGGGGTTGAGGTCAGGGCTCTGTAAAGGGTAGTCAAGATCTTCCACACCAAACTCACCCAACCATGGCTTTATGGACTTTGTTTTGTGCAGTGGGGCACAATCATGCTGAAACAGAAAAGGGCCTTCCCCAAACTGCTCCCAGTAAGATAGAAGCATACAACTGTCCAAAAATTTTGTGGTATGCTGATGAATTGAAATCTCCCTTCACTGGAACTAAGAGGCCTAGGCCAACCCCTGAAAAACAACCTATAGCATTATCTCTCCTCCATCAGACTTTACCGTTGGCACAATGCAGTCAGGCAGGTAATGTTCTCCTGGCATTCTTCAAACCCAGACTCCTCCATCAGACTGCCAGATAAAGAAGCGTGGATCATTACTCCACAGAATACATTTCCACTGCTCCAGAGTCCAGTGCCGGCATGCTTTACACTACTCCTTTCAATGCTTTGCATTGTGCTTGGTGATGTAAGGCTTGCATGCAGCTGCTCAGCCATGGAAATCCATGCCATGAAGCTCCTGGCGCAGTTTTTGTGCTAATGCCAGAGGAGGTTTGGAACTCTGCAGTTACTGAGTCAGCAGAGCATTGGTGACTTTTATGCACTATGCGCCTCATCACTCTGTAACTTTACATGGTGTGACATTTTGTGGCTCAGTTGCTGTGGTACCTAAACGCTTCCACTTTCAATAATATCACTCACAGTTGATCGAGGAGATATCTAGAAGGGAAGAAATTTCATGAACTGACTTGTTGCAGCGATGGCATCCCATTACTGTACTCAAATTCAGTGAGCACTCTTTCACAAATGTTTGTAAAAGCTGGCAGCATTGCTAGGTGTTTGATTGTATACACCTGTGGCAATAAGACTGAATGAAACACATGAATTCAATGATTAAGAGGTGTGTCTCAATACTTCTGTCCATATATATATATATATATATATACACACACACACACACACACACACACACATTACCTCAAGTGAACGATTCTTGTTTATAGTTGATAAAACATGTCACATATGCGGCATTATAATGGCAGCTTTTTTTAGGGTTCAGGCTAGAAAACCTCCATTCAGGTATGGTCCTGAAGGAGAATTCCAAGCACATTACATTTTACTATTTACTATTACATTACATTTTATCATTTACTATTATTACTATTATTTTCTTTTCCAGTACAGGTACTGAAACCTTGAGTATTGATTATAATACCAATGTTTCTTTTTTAAAACTACTAAGCGTCTTTTAAAACTATGACTATGAGTAAATGCAATTGCAAATCTGTGATTGTTATTCCTTTTTAAATGTCAGTCATACCAATAAGACAACCAAAATGAAATGTAAAAAGTACTTTGCTTTTCCGTATTATATATTGCCAGCCATTATACATACAAATGCAAATACACACTTTGCATTTGAATTAAGACTATGTCTTAAATAATATACACTCACATTAGAAATGCAGTTGAAAACGCACAATTTAATTGACATTTTTAAATTTGCATTTGAATTTGAAAAAAGTTCAGAACATGCTGTCATACCCTGGCCAACTTTGATCTGAAACATGACTCATGTTTGCTACTGCAAAGTTAATGATATCCTTTTGCGAAAGAACAGCTCTACCAACTACTACTTAAGAGCTTAATTTCTCCAGTTCTCAGACTGCAAGTCCGCTGTGACACACAAGCACACACACACGTGCATACACATCTACCTTGTAAATACAAGTGGCTCAGTGCAATTTGCCTGCAGAGGGATTTAAAGTCTAATGGATTTGGCAACCTTGCAGTCTACCTGACCCATTTAAAAGGAATGTGAACTTTGACCAACTCTGACCACATCTCCATGAGTTGCCAGCCTCTAGAGCTCAGTACGGGGGCCAAATGTGACACTGCAGTTCTGGCAGTGCTTTTAGAGGGACATCTAATCCAAATAAATAAGCAGAACACTAAACAAAAAGAGAGTAACAACTTTTTCCTAAAACAAAGTCACAAAATTCCAGTGGAAGGAATGGGATTATCAGTACAGGATTCTACTCAAACAAAAAGTTTTGGGACACAATAACTTCTTTTTTGCCCAATTATTTAAGAAAAACACCAGGTAACATTTTATAATGCTCAGCTTTATGTTTATTAATGTACCTTCTTTGGAGTGAATAAAGATTTTAGAGTTTTCCTCTCCAGACTATTGTTAAAAACATGCATTAAAAATCTGTCCAAAAGGGGGTTTAAACACCAACATTTTGAGTGCTGACATCACAGCACACAAGTCTAAAAAAATTTATGAAAAAGGAAAAAACAAAAAGTCAAGATCTAAACAAACTTTGCATTTAACTTATTACAAAGCGACAAAGACAACATGTTTATTAAAAACATCTTTCAAAACTAGGTGTCCCAAACCTTTTCATGGGCAGTGAACATTTCAAAAACAAATTACACTTGAGGCTGTCACTTTGTATTTTGACTCTGAAATGTTCACCAAGTTAAACACTCACCTGTTCTCTAGTGAAGTTTTTCTCCATGCTAAGCAAGTGTGGCGTGATAAAAGGCTCCCCAGGCTTCAGCTGAACCATGAAGCCATAGAAACAGAGGAAGATGACTGACCACTTCCAGGCCTGTGGTTTATGGGGCTCATCCTGCGGGTCTGCCTTGGTACCGAGCACGTTTGGAGGGGGTTCCTCAACTTCATTTGCATGTTCATTCTCATCTGTCCTTGGTTGCTCCTTAAGCTCCTCTTTGCCCTCACCACATGCCATGGAATCAACCATAATCTACAGTAGTTTACCTACACCACCACTTTAGATGGTTTTAATAAGTCACTCCCTATAATTCCACACAAAGGATTTAAGATAATACTGAAATGCTAAAATAACCTTAAAGAAGCACTGAAATATTATAAAAATGTTCTGGTTGTAATACCCTCAAAGCTGTTGACTCTACACTGCAAGCACATCTCAGAAAAGGGTCTCCACACAGAAACTATTTTAAAACTCCTTAAAGTAAAGTGATCCTTTTCATAAAAAGCTGGGCTTACGAGCTAACATCTTCTACCTGCGAATAACTTACCGTGTTAAGCTAACCTCTGTCCAGCTTCCAAGTCTGACAATGATTGTAAAATGCTACCTAACATAGTTGCCCATGATGACTCTGTAAAAGAAAACACAAAACAAGATTAGGCAGTTAGTTTGAAGTTCCACAAGTCGTGTTGCAAGGTGTGAATTTTTTTTGTTGTTTTTTGCAAGAGTATAAAGTAGACTGTCGAGGACAATGGACAGTGAATGCAAATTGCCAGTTATTGCTAAGCTGTGGTAATACAGAGCAGCACAGAATGAATGGGTTCATATATAGGGCCTGTCCTGTCATGCTGTCCAAGTTATTTACACTGTAACCATAGCTCACAATGGCTGGTGCACATTAGCTGTTCAAAAATTCCTCAAATTCAGCATAACTTAGAGTGATGCTAAATTCCTATTTTACCACATTCTGGCCATTGTCAGCAAGCTAATAATTTTACTTTAATTTTAAAGCTCAAGAAAGAAAACACAGGGGTACTCTACTGCTATTATAGAATTCCGTGTGCCTTTGTGCAGCCTTCCTTTAGCTCAATTTAGTGTTAGATGTTGGTGTTTTAAAGTTGAGATGTGTAAACATTTTGGTTGCGCTTTTTGTTGTCTTCTTGGCGAATTTAGTGTGTGTTCACCCTCTTTGTGTTAAGTCTGCCTTTGGGTGACCTGTGTCTCATTTGGCCCCTGGCTTAGTTCCTTTTGCTGCCTGTTTTATATAAAGAGTATTTTCCTTGAAGAGAAAATGGCAGACTCAGAGTCAACTTGTGTGCGGACGCTACAATACTTTTTCCCCTCAAGTACATTTGTGTACGTTTTGTTTAAGTTCATGTTATACTGGTAACAGCAGCTGTAATATGATGATAACGTTATGCTTTATTACTGATCGCACCTCCGACTTTCGGGGTTTATCATTTTATTCATTTAGACCAAGAGTGGCAGAAAGAGAAGAATATAGTCCAACACACTTCACTTCCTCCTATGCTAACAGCAGCTGTATGTATTAAAAACGTTCCACTGACCTGGTACTGTTTGTTGCACTTCTAGCAAGTTTTATTTATTTATTAATTTTCATAAAAAGTACTTTTACTTTTATCATTATTTCACAGAAGTATCAATTCTTTTAGCTGAGCATGTATTTTGACCACTCTACCCTTCAACTGGTTATTACGGCTGGTTATGAAACCGCACCACTGCATAAACTTTTTGCTTAACGTTATATATTTACGTCTTAGGACGTCTTACGGCTATCTCACACAAGTAACGTTACCAAAGGATGTTAAAGCTGTTTCTTGTGTAACACTCTAACACAGCTCGTCAGTCGTATTGTTTACAAAGCAATGTTGGCGAAATCTGCCGAGTGGGGATCTGAGCCTCTCTCAGTAACCCAGTCATTTGCACTGCCCAGACTAGCCTCCACTCACACACACTCGGACACATGCAGGGCGAACGGGTCAGCTGCAGCGCCTAAAAGTGCTGAAAGTCTCCGTTGGCTGGTGAAAAAGAGAGAGGTACAAGACCGTAGAAAGCAATATTTCTTACTTACCAAAAACCTTCAGTGGACTTAATTAGCTAGATTTCTCAGGCTCTGCTGACCAGTCCTAAAGACTAGCAAGCCGGCTAGCTTAGCTAGCTGTAAATCCGCGGGTTCTGCTGTCTGTGCAGCGATGCATCCCGCCAACGTGGTTTATTTGTCGACACTCGATATTTCCCCGAAACAAAAATGTTGCCAACAAGAAAGAGCACAGCTCCAGCAGAACAGTCTGTTCCTTCAAAGTCCTCTGGTACACTGCAGAGAAGCATAAACCCGCGCACGTGTGAAAAACAAGCAGGGGTGGGCCGACACAGAACCTCCGATCTAAACATCATCTACAACTTCGTGTATATCATGTACATCCGGGGGAAGTACATTTCAGATCTGCAGGAAATCTGCACTTTCTCGAACGCGTCAAGAAAAAAGGAATGTTGGAATGTATTTATATGTACCTCGAGAAAATTTACTAAGGAGGCTGGGAGTGTTTTAATGTTTTAAACTATCCTTTATGGACGGAACATGACAAACACTCGCCAAACAGTGGAACATTTCACAAATCTGTCATGGGAGAGTGGGAGAAAGCGTCTGTTAAGATGTTTATCAGCTGGAAAAGCATGGCTATTTTGTAATAGTCATAATTTAAGAAAGAAAACAGATTATTTTTAGCTGGTGAAATGACATCACAGTATTCAGACACCAGCTAGTGACGACTGGATTTCTCTATACTATCGTAGTAGTAAGTGGTGAACCGCAAAATATCAACACCAGACAAACGGAGTCGTCCTTTTAGGTATAAACTGAAAGCGGTGCTTTTGTGTCTTCTTTGAGCTATCATCAATTCACTGTGTTGTGTGAGTGACGGAGCGCTGCTTCAAGTTAGCCAGCTGCTAAAAACAGCTAGCCTGGAAAGCTAGCGCTCTCCCGCTCTCCAATGCCTCACAGCTTCCTCAGTTTACTTTCGTTTAAATCAGGGCTGTAATTTACATGAACCCACTTCTTTCTTTCACTTTCGTTGCTTGGGAATGCACTAATACTTAAATATGACTGTCCGAGCGCTGTAGTTGTGAGGATTGTGATTTAACGCTGCTAAAGCTGGTTAGGATGTTAGGAAAGAGGTGAGTTCACTGTTGGACAGTGTAGTTACACCACTGACCTCGTCACTCACTCTCGGTCACAGGAGAACAGATCGCCCGTCGCTCCACTCAAACAGGGAATGTATAACTCCGCGTTTCAGCCGTTGCTAAAGACTCATCTTACTCGTGGCCCCCTCCTTCTCTAATCATGTAGAAAAACCCTCTCCTGGCGACAGCAGAGTAGTGTCGCTTTCCTTGCAGTAGAAAACGCCACCAAGGCTTTCGCTAGAACGTGGAAGTATGAGAATGGTGTATTTTATCGAACATGTCGTATTGCTCTATCGAGGAAAAGTTATATCGCGGTAATTATCGTTGTCGTTTTATCGCCCAGCCCTAAGCAGAGGCTAGGAAACAAATCCTGTCTGCATAAACAGGTATTTCTCAGGTTTGGAAACAATGTCTTGGCTGGATTTGGGAGCCTTGTCTGCTTATACAAATGGAGTTAGTCAACATAAACATGGCTGTGTCTGTTTGTTATTAAATTTAGTATTTTAAACTTTGATTAAATGTGTCCTCTTCCTACAGTCATCCATCTGCTGCTTCTAGTTCTCGACTGTTAAGGACTTACAGCTTGTCCCAGGTACTTTTATTTATAGTAATATTATAGTGTAGCTCTTTGTAATGTTAGTGTATGTTTCTTTACGCATTGCTGTTATATAAATGCAATAGGACTTTGAATGTTAAGTGTCATTGTGAAAACCAGCACATTGTTATTTACAGAAACACTCTCCTTCTTACATGCTATTGCATCCACAACCCCTTTTTTCTTGTTTCTTTGTAGATTTTTTTTCTCACAATGCCTGCTGTCTACTATCTGGTGAGGGTTTTACTCATCTTGCTTACTTTTTTCTTCATTTTAGATGCAGCCATGAAGAATCCACAGTAACAATCACGCTGCAGGTGACAAAGAAATTGACCAGAGACCTCCACATCTGTTAAGAGCCGAGTACATTTAACATTATTGGGTAGGGATCAGATGTTCATTTCCTGTCTGCCTCTCTCTCTTCCACACATGCTCTATATAGACATTCACTGACCACTTTATGTACACCTTACTTAAGCCTGTTTGCAAATTACATTACGTCACTGCGTTGCTGTGGCACATACTGGAGGGCAGGAAGTGATTTTCCTAGAAGGCACTGTCACAGGTTCTCAAAATGCCTATGGTTCACGTAGTGTATGGTTGCTAAATTAGTTCTAACTGAGAAACTACAAGGAGCTTTTATCAGGTACCAAAGCTCGTTGTTCATTGGGGGAAAATTGCAAGAAATTGACCAAAAACGCCAGTAAAAATATATTTTGCACAGTTCATCTGTGGGTGTGCACAGGTGATAGATTTAAAAGATACAAGCACTTGCACTAAAATCAGGGTTAACAGTTAAACAAAAGACGGGTGAACAAACAAGTTGCTTACATCTGCTGCCTCAATAGCAGGGAGGTCTTTTAATTCAGTTGGAAATAAACACTCCTCTTGAAAACATAAGGATCAACATAAGTTGTAATTTTCTCTCATAATATAGTCTAAACTAGCATAGTATGGGCTTGCCTCCATCTTGTTTTTCGCTTTACACTTCCTGCCCTCCATCTGGAATTTGCATGTCATTCGAACCATATGACTTTAGAGATTGTATTAGAGATTGTAGTCCATCTGTTTCTCTGCATAATTTGTTTACCCTTTTACCCTGTTCTTCAATGGTCAAGACCCCATAGGACCCCCCAAACCATGTATTTTTTGGGTGTTGGATCATTTTCAGCACTGCAGTAACACTGACGTGATGGTGGTGTGTTAGTGTTTGTTGTGCTGGTCTGAGTGGATCAGACACAGCAGTCAGTGTCCATTCACTGTCCACTCTATTAGACACTCCTACCTTGTCAGTGCACCTTGTAGATGTAAAGTCAGAGACGATAGCTCATCTGCTGCTGCACAGTTTGTGTTGGTCATCCTCTAGTCCTTCATCAGTGGTCGCAGGACGCTGCCCACAAGACGCTGTTGGCTGGATGTTTTTGGTTGGTGGACTATTCTCAGTCCAGCAGTGACACTGAGGTGTTTAAAACTCCAGCAGCACTGCTGTGTCTGATCCACTCAGACCAGCACAACACACACTAACACACCACCACCATGTCAGTGGGATCCGCCACCCAAATAGTACCTGCTCTGTGAGGGTCCATGGGGGTCCTGACCACTGAAGAACAGGGTAAAAGGGGGCTAACAATGTATGTAGAGAGATAGATGGACTACAGTCTGTAATTGTAAATCTACAAAGTACTCCCATATTGGTGAAACTGATTAAATGGAAAATGAGTGAAAATGATAAAGTGGCTGTGTGTGTGTGTATGCGTGTGTGTGTGTGCGCAAAACAAAGCACAGTGGTGTACTGCACATTTCAGTTTCATGTGTATTTTTCTTTAACACCTGTTTATTGGTATATGTTGTTACCTTTATGCACTGACTATTCCATTTTGTTTGTGTTGTAGGCATGTACTGTATATTTATGTAAGGCAATTAAAAGCAGTTGTTTCCAAATGATTTCTAGTGTTGTGATTGAAATTCATGCATGCACACAGGTGAAAACAGGTGAGTTTTAGGATTGTGTTACAAGGCATGATACAGTACACACTAGCTTAATAGATGATGATGCACATTAAAACTGTGGCAGACTATTGATTGTTCAGCTGTGTTCACCTGTGCTGTACTGTATTCACTGGGGATTATTGTCTGGATTCTGTTATGCTATTTCAGAATAAAAGTGAATGTTAATCTACATCTGAGCAAATGCCATGCTTTTGGTTGAGGTACATGTAGTTATAGAGATTCAGATTTACGCAGAAACTATATGGAAGTAAATTGAGTATATTTTGCTAGCTGGGAGTGTTAGTAGCACAACGTATCTGGATGTGAGCCGAGCATTTAGGCCAGAATTGGGCCGAGATACAAACTGAAGTCTTGGCCAACGAGGTTTAAGCTTGGTATGCAGTATTCAGCCTAGATGTGGCCCAACTGATTTTTGCTATCTGGGAGACTCAATGTTGAAAGGTAAGACGGAGAAATTTGAAGCTGCTAATTTTCTCCACAATACACCATTTCACGTCAAAACGCCCTGAATGACTTTATTTACATCTCGACAACTGAATTATGCAGAAATTCTGAAAAATTGGTGGAATTCCCCTTCAAACTAGCTGTCATACAAATAATCACCAGATAAAAGTCCCAAGCATGAGATCTGGTAGAAATACAAGTGTCACACACATCAGTAAACCCATCAATGTGTGAATCATTTCTTTACGATAAAATAGCATAGTTTTGGACAGTATGTTTCTTAAACTGTTGCTCTGTAATTGTACAGAATGCAATCTGCCCAAGATGGCAGCACCACTGACATACCTGGCTGATTCCAATGCAACATCTATGTATGTATATCTATATGTCTATGAGCAAGATGATACAGCAAACGCAAAGCATCTGGTAGAATCTATTTCCTTGCCAATTTGCTAATTTTGAAATGAAAAAAATTTTTTTGGATGGATCAGCCAAGACTCCTAAGACTCTTTGCAGTGTTTTGAATGGAAAAATTGGCAGCATGGAACACCACTTTGCAGATGTATTAATAACTGTAGAACTGTAACAATTGTAACAGTTATATTAACTGTTGCAAGTGTACTTTAATCACTTAATATAATGTACATTTGTAAACTGCTCAGTTAGCCCCTAATCCCTGGGGCCACACTACACAACCAGGCTGATCCTGAGACTTTCTACCATCTACCATAGCTGATTCAATCTATTAATTAATTAACAAGCTCTTAATGTGATAGGTAAAATGTGCTAGAGTATGACAAAAAAGATGTGCACTGCATTGGATCCCCAGGACTGACTTTGAGAACCATTCTTCATTTACACAAAAATCATGTGAAGAGCCAAGCAAAGTTTACATTTTCTTGAGAGAGAGTGTAAAAATATTAACAAAATCTTACTACAAATTCTACTGCACTCTTACATTTTACTGATAACAATGGCAATGACATGAACAACAACAAATGACTCATTTTGTACTGGGAGTGTGGCACATTCCGAGAGACACTTTGCCTTACCACACCCCCCTAAGCTCCCCACAGCACTGCGGCCCATGGCGGATGCCACAGTATACTCAACACCTCTAAATGTTATTGCACCTGATAAGGCCACTGTACACCGGATATACTGCGCCACACAACATCAAAAATTTCTAAACTATTGTATTTAATGAAGCTGCATGTGCTGATGCATGCTATTGCTCATCAACTTCCAGCACTGCTCAATTTCTTTGAACATCACAGCACGCCACTCAGCATTTACCTATTAACCCCAGAAAGAGATCACAAAAGCCATGTGGCCAAAGTTACACTGAGAAAAGCCAACACATCATAGCCTTTTCCACCTAGTACTTTTTAGTTCAAAAATAAGTCAAATAGTTTGTGAAGAGTGTGTTAGCTAATACCAAACATGATAAGTGTTGTTGAAAGTTTTAGTCTATGTGTAGAGTGTCTGTATTTGTTGCATGTAGTTAAATGAAAGGAAAATGACATCAAAGTGCATTCCTATTCCAGCTAGTTGGTATTCTTGCTTGAATGAGCTAGCTGAATATAGAATGCAGAAAAGGCAAATCTTTTTAAAACAGCAAAAAATGCAGTCTTTACACAACATTATAGTAGTCCTCCATAAATCAAGTACAAATTTAAATTTTGGGCCTCTTTCTTTAATTTTTTGGCCTGGAAGATGAAAATAGTGTAGACTAGTTACTTGGTGTTGGTTGCAACACAAAAGAGGGAAAAAGAAAATATAGCAGATTGTCAAATAGGTCTTTCATCTGGTATGTGTGTAACTTTTGATTGGAATACCATAAGCTTGAGTAGCATGTCATGCAGGGGAATTTTTGTTTCGTTTTACGTTATGTGCGTAAGGCGTGATTAGTCAGACAGGTTCAAGGGAAAGCTGAAGTGCAGCCAGAAAGATGGCTATTTCCTCTTGCAAAAACATAAATAAATAAAATAAAAAGTCTAGTTCTCAATGCATTAAGAATGTCAACCAATGGACGCTTTTTGTCAGGGAAATGTACATGCACTTCTTAGGTTTCTTTAGAGCAGCAACAATAAAAGCTGAATAATATGACATTATTTTTCCATAGTGATGTGCAGAATACATGCCAAACTGAAAAGCTGAACATCCATTACATTGTTTTCATGTTTTCATTTCAATCACTTGACTCTTTACTGAAAAACAATGCATGAGGATTTGAATTTACAAAACAAAATGCTGAATTCATGTCAGAATTAATTACAATCCAACTTGCACAGTTACATTGCTTTCCTCTGTGTGGTACCTCAAACATATATGGCTCACTGAAATGCAAACAGTACAGAAAGTGAAATGCAATGCATATTTGAACAATTCAAACAATGACATGCAGAAAACATACCAAAATACGGCCCATTACAGTGATTTAATGTTATTTGAAGTACTGCACAGTGGAAAGCAATATAGTTTTGCACTGATTACATTTTAAGGTGGATTGTATTTGATTCTGACATGAATTCAGCATTTTGTGTTTATATTCAAATCTTCATGTATTGTTTTTCAGTAAAGAGGTCAAGTGACATGAAAACAATGTAAGAAATGTTTTGTTTTTCATTTTGTGTGTGTATGCTTTTTCACTGTAGTGACTGCTTTTCATTTTGGAACTAATTCCTCTCCGCAGTATAAAACATTAGAGATATTTCTTTTTGAATATGTGACAAAACAGCTATTTGAAGGCAAATTGATCCGGAGCAGAGAGGAGGAACATGTCTGAATGCATTTTCTGCCACAGAGAATATAGCTTTCATGATCTTTAATTTGAAAGCTTCAAACAAACAAAAGCTGCTATAAAAACTCTGTTACAACATGGTGGAATCCAGCACTCATTTAAATATATAGATCATTTTACCGGACTGGTTCAAAGTCAGAGTTGAAAACAAATTTTAGACTTTTAACTGACTTTAGACTAAAGTCTTTTTTGATTTGAGTGACCTTATACCTTAATTATGTTTAAAACAAATGATTGAACATTCTGTTTTTTCAATACCAAAACAATAAAAACACTACCAAAACTTTACAGAATGTTTCAGTAGTGACTGTTTTGGTAGTGGCAATTTTAGCTAATTGGAGCGGAACTCAAAAATGCTAGCCAGAAGAGTAATTTGACATGTTCAGATTTTAATTACATACCTGGATTGAGTTTACCGCAAGCAGTTTCAGCTTTTAGTCATATTTTTCAATTTATGATGGATTTTACAAACAAATGTACAAATTACACATGTGAAAAAGACATTTTTACTAATAAAAATGTATTTCCTTCAATAAAAACTGAAATAATATTTACTAGTGGAATTTAAATGTCTCATGTGCAAATGTAATTCCTTATATCAAGAATTAAATATTTACAAGTTGAAATTTTCACATATGTAAACTGAATTCTTCCAGAAAAATAAGAAATCGAAGCTGAAACATCTTGACTTGCCATAGACTTAGCCTTTCAGCATGTCAGCTTAAAGTTAAAAGCATCTTTACCAAACAATTTAATATTAATCCAGGACTTCTTCCCTTACAATTCGTAGCTCTTCTTTCTCAAAATGTTTTTTTTGTTTGTTTCTTT